AAGCTAGGAGAGAAAGGGGGAGAAATGAGATCGGTGAAAAGGGCTGGCAGACCACATCAGAAAAGTGATTACCTACACAGGGGAGGGGATGGAAGGTCCTGAAGCGAGTTCTCCACTTCAGACAAGTTTCATGCTTTTTTTTTTTTTTTTTTTAAATTGCTATGTGGGCAAATTTCCTTTTCCAAAAGTTATTTATTGTAAAATTACCTGAAGACAGCTTTGCCGCTTACCTTCCCTGTCAGAGAGAATACCTGCAAACTAAACACTGTTTTATTTTAAAATGATGGAGACCAAACATATTCATACGCAGGAACTTCACGCTTGCTGGGCTCTACCTGTGCAGCGACTCCTGCCAGGTAAGAGAGGAATTGCTTGGAAAAATCTTAGTGCTTCCCACAGAAACGGGCACGTTTTCTGCCAAATACCATCATGTTCTTCTGCACTTGTGAGCACTGCAAATCAAATCAAGCCACAGGTGCATCAGAGGCAATTTCAGCAGCTTTTTTTGTATAATTCCATCAAATGACAGTACAGGTCAGCACTGGCTTTGACCTTCAGGGGAACACTAGCACTTCAGGAGATACTCATGGCAGCCCATCAAGCCTCTCTTATTTTGCATTTTCTAGGGTGATGCGAAATAGTCTTCTGCAAACTACGTGCACATAAACACCTTGACTGTTTCACAGGAAGAGTGTTTAAAGTAAGCACAGTGTAATTAAATGCCACATAGTGAATCTATTTTGTGTACTGCAGTCTTCGACGAGGCTGTTTCTAGCTATCAAACATTTTTATGTCTTTTAGAGACGGAGATTAAAATAGGCTTTAACATAATTGGAAGCAATGATCTAATACTTTCAGCTTAAAAGCGGCATTATTGTAGCTATAAAATAGGTGAGAATGCATTTAAATGCTGAATAGAACAGGTGTGTTAACTCTTGCTCAAGTTAAAGTACTAGCGTGATCAAAAGACACTTTTTTTTTTATAAGCATACATAAAATCACCAATGACATTAAAAATAATGGGTACCACGTGCCTTAAAAGTGTTCAACAAGTGGAAAGTTTTGCCTGCATCACAGTTTAATAAAAATCAACCAAATGGTAGAAATTCCTCATGTCGTTTATGATACAAGTACATATACGCTAGCATGGGGGCACTTACAAAAATGTAAATAAAACCCCCTCACATTTTCTTTAACAATTCTTTAAACATCATATGAGAACATTTTACTGAACACTTATGTTCTAGGCACTAGAGGTGAGCACTGTAAGTAAGCAAGCTTTGCATTTGAACTGAGTTGCTATTCGTATTTAGGCCTCTGCTTGAAGCCAATACAGCTGTCAGTAACCACATAAGATGCGAGACAGGCCTGGTGTTAAAAACTGCCCAAGTCCACATCCCACCTCAGAGCGCTGGTTCCAAGCTGAGACAGAGGATAAGAAACTAATATAAACTAACTGCCAAAAACTGTAGTGGTTCATAACTCATTTTCAACCTGAATGAGAACAACGCAATGAAAACCAAGTTGCTTTGCAGCAACCCAGTATTCAAGGTGAAACTACGGATTTCCTTCCCACTCTGTGAGCAGAATTCAAAGCAACAGTTTGGGTTTAAACCCAGGAAAATTAGAGAGGTGGATACAGAGACTCAGTCTGAAGTTTTGGAAGTCTCAGCTTCACACGGAGGCCTCCAAAGACTACCTAAACATACCTGACTGCTATAAGCCAAAGATCCCACACAAGATCTTAACTTCTCAAACTGAAAACAGTTCTTATACAATTGAATACAGGCTTGACAAGTCTCTAAGCAGGCCCCTGAAATCTGTAACACCCAGCAAAACATCATTGCTCACCGCCTTTACTGCTAACATCCAAAACGCCCTGAAACTCATCAAGTGTTCAAGCCCATGCAGCCACCTGAGGGTATTTACATGCCCCAATACTTAACAGTATGTAAAACGTATGCACTAGTCCTCCTTCGTAAGCAGCAAGCATTTCCCAGATGCTCTTAGTCTCATAAATATAGGCATCTAAAACTGGTCAAAAATCACTTCCTGCAAGTCTTTTATTTCTTTTCATCAACAAGAGGAGCCTTAAGTGACTAGACCAGATTTCCGTGTCCAGAAATTATCAGAGGAAACCTACGCTAAAGATGGAGAAGAGCTCGAATTTTGTGCAAATCCAGATCCACACCAGAGGCTGCTGTAGTAGGAAAGAGATTTGGAAAGTGGAGGTAGACAGACTCCCAAGAAGCAAGCTATTTCAGAAATTCCAGGGACCAGGGGCATGGTCGAAAACCCCATTTATAGTGAGGAAAAAAAGATATGCAGACAGTTTTCTTCAGTTTAATATCAGGTGGTGTTACAAACTGCTAAAACCAGACATTTTCACATTATTACACTTGATGCACCATAAAACAGGTTTATGTTACAGTGTAAGATTCATTATTATAAAACTTGCAGAGAACTTCACACGGAAGTCTTTGTTTTTTTACCCCTTTTATTCACATCCAAACCCAATAATTCTTATCTGTGTACAAATGGAGTATTTTCTTCCATCTTCTGCTTTCCAACCAACCAGTTCTAAACATCAATAACAACACTGGTAGTGAGAAACCAACTACAAAGTGCCACCGCGGTCACTCGGCTCAAGACACACACACTTCTTGCTGGATAGCTGGTTGTGGCATTTTACTATCCTCCGTCTTTTCCTGTCCAGGAACTTGGCACACAGTCTTTCGTTTGAATAACCGTAGACTCAACCGTAACAAGTCGCTGTCCATTGCTGCAGAATTTGTGTAAGTTTGTTTTGTTGCACCCTGTTGAAATTAAAAATGAAAAATTAAAAAAGAGAGTGAACTGAAAAGAGTGGCTTTTAACATGCAACATGGGAAACTAACCTCAAGTACTCTCAATAATTAGAGGTTTAATCATACGTATTGACTAGAAAAGATTTTGAGAATTAATGATTTTTCTATTAACATGTAAGATCATAAAACGTACTGTAGTGCAAAAAAATGGCTAAGATGCTCTTCCAAGTTAAAATTGAAAGAAAAAAGTAAAATCTTATAATTCTTATAAAAGTACATGGAATCTCGAGCAGTAGAATTATTCAGCAGTGGTCTATGTATTTTAACCAATTATTTTTATTATGTATTCTCTAATATAGAGAATTTGAACCCCAAAATGAGAAATAGCACCTACCTCTAGTCTCAATCTTAAACTATTCTCTCATCTAAGTAAAAAATGAAGACCCTACAACATCTTTAAACTAAAGTCTGTTCTCCATTATTTAAAGGACTAGGTCTATTCCAGAAGAACAAACACGAAAATTATCTCCCTAGAGAAATGCTTTGCATAGTGGAATCTGTGTTTCCACATTTTGACCAAGCACTGTGAACAAACCACTTGCCTTTTCGTTCTTCATTAACTGCTTACGAATTGCTGAATCCCTTCGAAAGCACAGTGCTTTACAGCAAGGGCCCAGATTACTGAGAAGACTTGCTCTCTCTTCTTTGCGTAGAAGTGCAGCCATATTCAAGGCCCCCAGTTCATGTTCAAAAAGGTTTTCTGCATCTAGAAAGAATTGATATTTGCAGAGATCAACATATATGTGGTATTCTTGAACAGTAATATGAAATCCCTTAAAGTTTACTATTTGTATTTCCACCTTTTAAACAACATCAAGCTTTGGAAAAAAAAAGTTATATTGCAGTTTATAAAAAAACTAATAAATCCTTCACCACTTAAAGGTAAGGACAGGTACCCTTGCATGTACCTTCAGCACTGGAAAGCACTGTTGAGACAGCCTGCATTGAGAGGCCTAAAAATCACGTGACAGGTCTGGGACAGAAGAGGGGGTATCGTTTATGGTCAGACATGTGACGAAAGCTGTTTACTGCTCGCGTTAATCAGAAAGAGGTCTAAGTTTCACTCCTCTGCAAGACATCAGGTAACTGTACCAGTGTCAACACAGGGTTTGTATGGCTATGCAAAGTGAAATATGACTACGTAGAATAATTCTTTCATGCATGGTGGAAGAATCTGGATAATAAGTCAACAGATGCTAATGAACCACCCCTTCCTACCGGCTCAACTAAAGCATTTGTTAATAGTACTCAACGTGGCAGGACTAGTCTTTTAATACATTTATCAGAAGAAACGGTGTGCAGCCAGAACACTTTAACAAAAGATGGATCCCGAGGTGAGTCTTGTTCTGCGACAAGTCTGTTTCTACGAAATACAGACAAAGACAAAAAGAGTGCACATGGCTGGACTGCAACTCATTAATTTATAACCCTTTTACAAAAAATAGGACTATGATGATATAATTGGGAAAAAAACCCAACCCCTAAGGTAGCTAGCTAAGTCCAATTCAGCCACCTCTATAAAGTAAAACACTTAGTGTTTAGCAGAGAATCTAACACCTAACTAGAGACACCAGCAAACCTGGGGAAAATTTAGCAGCTACAAGCAAAGCCTGCCACAGCAGTTTGGCAGAATGCACACAAAAGAGGACAAAGATGCATTTTTAAACCACTCAGAGAATTTGGATGAAGCCGAATAAGACTAGTTTTTAAACAAGGTGAAAAGAAACAAAGAGTTACATGAAATCAAGGGCAGGTTAAGGAGAACTGCACTGAAGTCATCGAGACAACCTCAATGGACAATCAACAACACGAGTAAGTGACAAGACACAAAACGGCCACTTCAGAGGTAACACTGACGGCTTGTAGAGTCTGCTTAGGTGCCAGACGCTGAGCATATCTGGCAATTAAGAATGTCCACACCCTCAGAGGAAACAATCGCACATAATAGATAGAGGGTAAGCCAGCTACAACTCTCAGTTCCATCACATACTACAGTTTTTTGTTTCCAAAGAAAATTAATTATAAGAAAATCCCTGACACAAGCTATCGTTTCCCTTTTTTTCTGCATTTCAGTGTACTACCAGCAACTTTTCATCCACAATAAGAACACAGAAGGGAACACCGAACTCAGGAATAAAATAGGGAAACAGATTATACCACCATGAGGAATTCCAAAGTGAAAACCCTATGTTTTCACTGTAACGCACATCGAGTATCTAGCTCAAATTAATTCACTTCTCAGGGCACTATATTTGGTTCATTCATTAGTTTAGAACACACATGCCGTGGCTGTGTAATCACTACACAAGGAACCTTCAACCTAGCAGATTACAGAGGAAATGCACACACTTGAAAGCCTACTGGCAGTTCCACATGTAGCAGCTTTGATGCCTGAGAGACTGTGCACACCAAAGGGCAATCAGTGGAGGCACTTCAATCCCCCTTCCTCTCCAGAGCAAAGTTCTGCTGAATCCGAGTATGCTTAAGACAGCCCAGAGGCTGGAGAGCTTCCTGTATTATCACTGCGGACTTTCTGTTTATTTCTAGAGAAGCACGCAAGGACTGCTGAGGTTATTTCGGGCATCATTTTAAATAGCTGCGTGGAGCGATTCCGCACTGCAGTTCCTGTGGCAAGGAATCCCTGGTAAGAAGCGCTGAAGTATACAGCAAAATTAAAGCATACAGGGAGAGAGTGAGACATAATCCGTACCTTTACTATGTCAGACAGTTTGCAAACTCAGAAAGACTCAATACTGTGTATCAATCACACTGGTTATGTGAATTCTTAAGCATAAGAGGTAAGATTTTTTTTTTTTTTAACTAGAAGAAACCTAATACTGCATTGAAAGAGCTGCACAACACTCATTTCGCACAATACCCATTATACACTTGTCATGGTCTTGAAACCTAAAATAATGAACTAATGCACATTTAATACAAACTTTCAGTAAGTACAAAAGACAGTTTAATCCCCGCAGAAACAATTACCTTTCGGTTTTTCTAACACTCTCTGGCAAGTCTCTTTAATTTTGGTGAAGAGTTCTGGTCCTGCCAATCGCTTGGAAATGCCAACTCTCAGCATAACAGCACCTGGTGTGAACTTTAACAGCGCAGCGCCAGGCTCACGTGGTTCTTTTGGCTGCTTTGGCATAAGACTGGACCAATCTACATCTATAACATCCACAGGATCTGCAAAAACGTCACCAGAGAATGAGTTACTGCATCATCAGCCCTTACCACAGTTGAATGATTTCACATGCTGTGTACATCCCCGTCTCCTAAAAGCAATATATATTAGATGAACACTGTTCTGCAGTTCTCAAAGCCAGATCCTTGGACACTTCAGGTAAGAACTTCAAAACTCATTCAGATTGGTGGGAAAAAGGAGCATACAATTCTCAAGGTTCTTGGATTAAAAGAACACCCCTAATATTCTGCTTCATTTTTATTGCAACCCCTTTGTGGAAGGCTGCTCGGACCCTGCTTAGCCAGCAGATTTGGACACATCACTTAGGCATTCACAGAAGTCACGGTACAACTAAACGTGCTATGACAGATCCAAATGAAATGCTTAAAAAGCCAGTATTTCATCTCTGGATGCTGGATGGTTTTTTTTTTCAAAGGAGAGATATACTATTTATTGAATAACCATACAACTGTGTTTGTCTAGTATGTTTATCACAGAAAATAGGAACACTGATCATATAGCCCAGATGACCCAACTGAACTTATGACAAGTAGAAGATTCCATGCTTCCCAGTGCATTTGGGAAACACTCAAGGATGGATAAAGTCTGTTCATAAAAATATCAGTTCCAAATAACGATCAAAACCAAGTGGGATAAATGGAAACATGCTTATAAAAACAAAAAGCTTACCCTTCTAGCTATATAAAACAAGATAAATATTGCTTCATAAATACACCTCACGGTACTCTTTACTTACCTCTATACCTCTCAGGCTTACCTGACTATTACAGAACAAATGAGAAATACTGAAGGACATATAAACTGCATTCCTAATTCAGAAATACTGTTAACATCACAATAGCATTATATGGAAACTAATTTAATCTTTATATTCAAATAATCATAAAGGGGGGTTGCTATACTTTTACCAGGCATCTTCTCATCCTCTTGTTGTTCCTCCCGCTTTTCAGCATCACCTGCCAGAATTTCATCCAGTTCATCATCACTGATTGGTTCATATTCTCCAGCACCAGACCCCAGTGACTGCACATCGTCAATCTTTGCTTCATCTTCTCCTCCTACAGAGACAGACACATCCTGTAGCTTTAAAGCAATCATTCTTGTTTTCTGAGCATGCTTTAATCATCCTGATAACAAAGAGGTTCAGCAAACTGAACTGTTAGTTTTTGGGGACAAGTGTATTCAACATGAAAACAAGTATTAACTCATGGAAACAGAAATTATTTCTCCCACACACAATGCAGCAGTTTGGATTTTACGTATCTCGGTCATTTTTTTTGGTGTAGTATTAGTCAAGCTGCACACAGAAGGCCATATTCAGAAGAAAGATATGTTGATTATCTAATAGCTGATCTGTAGACAATAATACAAATCTAAGTTGGTGCCACAAAGTCTTTCAGGTGCTTTTGCGCATGAATCCAAACTCAGGATTTAGTCCAAAGGCTCTACAAGTGAAAGAAGTAACAAAACCCCAAAACACAAGAAGGTGGAAGATATTCTGAATGAAGCAATTATTCAGAGTTTTAGACTCTGCAAGTCACAAGCGCATCTTTCAGAAAGCCATGCCAAACTTCTTCAGTTGCTGTTACTCCTATCCATCCACATAGCACATGCATATACAAATACCTATGCTGTACATGTAAATGTGTTGCTTAAAGCCTGTAAACACAAGACACTAAAACATTGCATTTTGCAGTTCACAAAAGGAACATCTGAAGGTATTCTCTCACCTCCACACTGAAAAGATCAATATATATACACTATTCAAGCATTCAGAAACCCTATTGCTCTAAACTCAGGCTTTCTTAGGGTTTTCCGCCATGGTACGTGCAATGAGTTTGTGCCATACAAACTAGACAGAATTTACCGGGGTCCTGCCCTGTGGATAACTGTTCTAATATCTTCCAGCTCCCTTATCCAGAAGGAACACTGCCTCCATTTTAAGTTGCCCTCATTTTTTTTTTTTTGCTTGCCTTTGTAAAAGCTACAGATGGGGGGGGGGGGAAATCACCTCAACTACTCTAAAAATCTGCACACAAAGAGCAAGTAAAAGACATGCTAGCAGAGCGTAAATTAACTACTCGGACCACCTAGCAGTGCTCTAGATGAAGCATATAGCCTCTTAGGCATTATTTAAGCCCGCTCCTAGAGCAAACACATTAAGATTCAAGACATTACAATAATTTGGCAATTATATCCTCACACATTTTGTTAGATAACATACTAAAGTAATTTGTCCAAGCTTAAAATTGCTGAATTCTGTCCATCACAGGAAGACAAAGCAGACTTTCCCATGCTCACTCCAAATACTACCTTTGACAAATGCTTTCACTCCACAGATAATTTCCTTAAATGGAATTTTCTCAATTGTACCAGTCTATCCTAATGACCACTTTGCGAGTAATCAGGTAGGAGATATAATAAGTAATAAATATTCCTCATCATCCTCTCTAGACATTTTATTTAATGGCCCAAATTAAGAATGAACACTACAGATAATTCTTATTAAGAATGCAAATATGATGAGACCATGTCCTGTTATCGTGTGTAAAACTACAAAAGCTGAATTCGTTTCTCTTTCTGCTTCTGAAGACTATGAACTTCAGGCCTTACCATCCCAAACATCCAAAAATTTCAAATCCTACAATGCCTTTTTTAGAGAAGAAAACTGCAATCACCAAAAAAACCAAACTTACTTACATAGCCATAATGTACACCAGTCACTCTGGATTTAGACTCTTGCTTCCTTTACGTTGTTGATAAAGGTTTTAAGTACTTCCCAAAGTACCTATCCATACAAAGCTCAAGCTGCCTAATCCATACAGCAAATTCTTAAAGAGTTTTGTCAGTGTTTGCCCCTTACTTACTTTATTTATTAATCCTAAGCACGTTTTCCCCAGTACCATTAGGGCCAGCAAATTGAGGCTGCACTTAATAAGAATACCTCAGGAACACCATTTTTGGACTGTTGTGCCAAGCCATACATATGTTTCACCTACTTATCACACAATCATTTCTATGATAATTGGGCTCTGCAGAAAAAAAATCCCAAAGAACAGTTCCAAGTCACCACTCATTTTTTTTTCACTCATTACCTGTCACTTCCAAACTAAGAAACAGATCTTATAACAACATAACAAGGCAATCAAATGTTGGTGTTATTCTTTAGCAAACTACCTGTTCAGAAACGTTACACCTTGGCAAAATTATACCTCAGATCATTTATGTTTCTTTGCCTCAAGACTTCTTTAGAAATTAACAAATAACACTAACATTAACACAATTAACATTAAGAAGATGCTCATCAGAATTCTCTCTTATTGTGTCTGCTTCCACAATAGAGAAGCTGCAGCCAATATGCCTTTCAATAGAAAATTATTCTAATATAGCTCAGTTCAGCTGTATACCAAAAGGGAATGAATAAAGTATTTGACAGTCCAGGTCCTTCCCCAGAATATCTCACCTTCTAAACTCTCTACTTTTTCAGCCTCATTTCCGTCTTCGAAACCTTGTAAAGGTCCTAAATCTTTGTCTGTTCTTTCCTTCTCTGAAGCCACCGAATCCCGACAAACACCATCGAATTCCTTTTCGTGATCTCTGTCCAGCTTAGTTTCACTGTGTTTTGTTGATTCTTTTTGAGAGGAGATGTCAAGAGTTCTGTCTCTCTCTCTTTCAGCAGTATCAGGCAGCTGTCTCTCTCGCTCTCTCTCCAGCTCTCGTCTTTTCTCCCTCTCCCTCTCTCGTTCTCGGAGTCTCTCTCGTTCCCTGCTCCTCGGCCAGTCTTTGTCAACATCTCGGTCCCAGTCTCTCTGTCTTCCCTCTCTCCTGTCTCTCTCTCGTTCTCGATCATGTTCATGTCGATCTCGCTCCTGAAGCCTTTCCCTGCTATCAAAGGACCCAGATCTGGAATGGACCTGACGATCCGATTCAGGAGAACTTCTTCTTGAACTGTGACTTCTTGAATCTTGACGATCTGAATAAAATATTTTAAATAGATGCATGACTACAGCATGTAAAATGTAACACCATTTTACTAGACCAAAGCATTTAAAAGATTCAGGTATGAAAATGTACTTCTCAAAAGCATCACCTTCAAATTAATAATGCCTTCAGATTGCCTACATATTTAACTTTACTTAAAAACATAAAAGATAAACTCCCAAAAAAGATTTTTAGTGTCTACTTTCTACTATGACAGAAGCCAAACTGAAGGTACATAATTTTAACTCAGAAGTTTAGGTAAGGGGGGGGAAAAAAAAAAAAAAAAAAAAAAAAAGAAATAACCTCAAAATTCAAAATTTTCAAAATGTGTCTTCTAAAAGCTAGGAATGCCTTGCCTAGCAAATGATAAATTAAAAAAAAAAAAAAAAAAAAATTCAGGCATGTAACCATGAGGAGAATAGACAGCCAAAGTGCTTCAGGAGGAAGATATTTTCCCACTGATACGGTTTAAATTTTAAAACATTTTACCCTTTTTTTTGTTTGTTTTTACAGAAACTATACAAATAAAACAAGTAAATTGTGATTATTTTGATTTGCAGCAAAGATGATTTCCATATGCATTAAAAGTATGCCTAACAGGAACCATGTCAGATCTACCTCAGTGAAAATAGGTCCTGAGATAATAATGGACCTCTCTCCCAGAGAGGAGAGACATTTTCATTTTGCATAGATTTCAGAATCTCCACATCAAAATGCATGTTAATAATGAAACTAAGAACATTATTTAGATGATAAAACTACCTCAGTGTTCTGTTAGTACAAGCATTTTCTCCTTCTATGAGTTTTTTTGTCCTACAAATTACTTTATTCCCCAGGCAGCATGAACTGAATCTGACTGAATGTTTTGGCGTAAACAATGTGGTAATCCTGCCTGCTGAGGATCAGCTTTTCAAATATGGTAACACTCGCAAGAATCTTAATTCACTTTAGTTTTACAGTGAATGGCAGAGAGCACCTCCCTCTCCTTTCACACTAATTACAAATGAAAAGAGTATACAGCCATGCAAGGATGATTTGGGATTTGTACTTTCGTCCTTTTATACAGTCGGTCTCACTAACACGTATCTTATTACCTGAAGATGTGCTGCGACTGGGTTCCCCTCGTTTCAACTGATCAATTCTGGACTTTCGTTCCCCAGTGATTTCTAAGCTTTTCTTCTCTCTCTCCCTGTCCCTATCCCTGTCTCTAGAGCTACTGTGCAGGATCCTCTTCCGTCCAGTCTGGTCATCTCCACTGCGATGAGCTGACTCATTGGAAGGGGATCTAAGTCTGCTTGAGGCATGGCTCCGATTGCTACCAAGGCTGCTGCTGCGCTTCTGATCCACAGGTTTACGGTGTGGTCCATCATCTATAGTAACATGAGGGGCTTCTATCTTTTCACTCCTTGTCCTGTGACTTTTTCTATGGGATTCCTCAGTGCTTCTTTCAGGAACAACAATGTCACCACGTTCAGGAACATCTTCATCTGACCAGTCACTAAATGTTGTATCATCTCTTTTTTGGGGGACTTCTGCCACAGCTTTCTCAGGTGGTGCTTCAATCAACTCTTCTTTTGTTACAGGGGGGGTTCTTGGGCCTTTCTTCTTTTTATGATGTGGAACAATTTCTTCATCAGAAACTTCAGAATCACCTTTGGATCTCTTCCGCTTTTTCTCAACATTTTTCTTTTTTTGACCTTTCTTGGGTGAAAAGACCTGGCTTTCCTCAGTCGTTGATTCATTAGCATACCTTTCCACCCCACTGTCATCATCTTTCTTCTTCTTTGTGGCCTTTTTCTGTACTTTAGACTTCTTCTTGCTGTCATCATGCATTCTGTCAGAAGCATCTCTTTCTTCAGAGGGACGGTGTCCAAGGTTTTCCTGAACCCTGGACCGGGAGCCTTCTGAAGCATCTGGCTGTTCTCTTTGCTTATCTGCTGAAGAAACCCTCTCTTTAAACTCTGGTTCTTCGTAACGCCGGGAGCTTTCCTTTCTGTCCGATTTTCGCTCTTCTTCTTTCCAGCGACTCTGCCGCTCTTCTGTAACATGAGAGGGGCTCAGTGACCGGGATTCCTGTGGCCGCACAACCTGGCTCAGAAGTCTGTGCTTTTCATCTACAAAATGGGAAAAAGGATGTACTTGTATTGTTTAGGAAGGAGAACAGGTGAACATATTGGCATCTTGTACATGCCAAAAACTGTCAATCAAAACAAATAATCCATTATTTCAGTTACATTTCTTAAGTATTTCTACTGCTGCAGCAGCAACAGACTATTTCCGTTTTGGTAAACATGCATCTTAACAGACGTGGAAGCCACTATCACCTGGCAGACTTAACATGTAGTGACAGAACAAAGACAAAGAGACAAACATATAGATTAAGAAAATTGGTGTTGCTTACAAAAATAAGGGGAGGGGGACACTTATAAAAGCTTGCCCCATGTTTTCTCTATTTAAGAGTGCAAGTCATTTTCCATAGGCAGAGGGTAAGCTGGATCCTGCTGCAGAGATACCCAACTCTTACTTACTTTTGTCATCTCCACTATTGTAAGCATCACTGTCAGGAGAGTGCTCACGGCGACGTTTGGGTGACTGACGAGGACTTGGACTGCTTTCATTTCTGTGACGCTTCCTGTGGAACAAACATGTACAGTCAAATTGCTTATGGATTCTTTAAAGAAAACATTCAATAACTGACATTACCATCAATACAATCCCTGAAGTCTAAGCACTTCATAGAGAAGAAGTCTTATGAGGATCGGCTGAGGGAGCTGGGGTTGTTTACTCTGGAGAAGAGGAGGTTGAGGGGAGACCTTATTGCTCTCTACAACTGCCTGACAGGAGGCTGTAGCGAGGTGGGGGTCAGTCTCCCAAGTAATGGGTGATAGGATGAGGGGAAATGGTCTGAAGTTGCACCAGGGGAGGTTTAGGTTGGACATTAGGAAAAATTTTTTCACAAAAAGGGTTATTAAGCATTGGAATGGGCTGCCCAGGGAAGTGGTCGAGTCCCCATCCCTGGAGGTATTTAAAAGATGGGTAGGCGAGGTGCTTAGGGACCTGGTTTAGTGGTGGGATAGCAGTATTAGGTAAAGGGTTGGACTTGACGTTCTTAAAGGTCTTTTCCAACCTAAACGATTCTATGATTCTAAGACAACACATCTAATGATGCCAGGAAGTTTTTTCTAAGTTGTTATTCCAAAAGTATGATCAGAAAACTGCACTGTAAGATACCTTAGACTAAAACTCTAACACTTAAGACAACTATCTTTTTAGCAAAAAGTTATGAAAGACTATTAAGAGCAATGTTTTCCTGTGGCAATGATCCTTGCACTGGGTTGACCCCAGCTGGTAGCTAAGCCCTCACCTAGACACTGCTTATATGGGAGAGCCCGTACTAGATGATTTATAGGAATCCACAATTCTCTCACACAAAAGCTACTAATTACTTCCAAGGAAAGCAGCCATTCAGGGCAACACTGTTTTGCTTATTACTGATAGAACAATTTTATTGTACTAAATGAAAAAACCAAAAAGAATCAGTGCTACACTTAAAGGAAGCACAACACACTTATTCAGGATATTGTTCATGCCTTCACTGGTAGCCTTCTGGTACTGAAAATTTAGTAGCGCAAAGGGTAATGTATGTTCCACAAAAATTTAATGAACAAAGTCAGAACCCTGACCTAGTTAGTTGCTATCTGACTTTCTAGGCTTCAAAAGCTACCACAGTCAGGTATTATGCTTTGAAGAATGCCTGCATTATTAAAGACAAGGCCACACAAGTATACTTAGAAGGGAAAATTACATGGTCCAACTCAATTGTTAGTTCCCAAGTAGTTCAATAATTCCGCACTAATGAAGCATCAGATTAACTTCACTAGCATCGTACTGATTTGCTGGCCACCACTACGTGCCACACAGATGCAAGGGAGACGTGGTCCAAGACCAGACCTCTGCATAAACAGTATTTTCCTCCTTATGATACTCTGCTTACTAACTTACTGAAACCAACAGTAAAAGACTGCCTTTTTTTTTTTTTTTTTTTTTTTAAACAAAAATAAAGTAACATTCGCATCAACTCACTTGGATTTTCTTTCCTCATGGACATCTCTTGAACTTCTTTCTTCTCTGATATCTTCTCTCTTATCCCTGCGGTCTTCCCTTCCTTTTTCTTTGTCATCCCAGTCTCTCTGGCGGTCTCTTTCTTTATCCCTGTCCCGACCTCTCTCCCTTTCTCGTTCCCGCTCTCGATCTCTTTCACGCTCTCGCTCCCTTTCGCGTTCCTCCCGCTCTCGCTCCTTCTCCCTCTCCCTCTCTCGGTCCCTTTCCCTGTCATGGTCCCTGTCTCGATCACGCTCGCGGTCCCTGTCTTTGTCCCGCTCTCTCTCCCTCTCCCGTTCCCGAGCACGATCTCGTTCCAACTCTCTTTCCTTCTCCCTTTCTCTTTCCCGGTCTCTCTCCCTCTCCCTCTCCCGGTCCCTCTCCCTTTCTCGCTCTCTCTCCCGGGCCCTTTCATCTCTCCTATCATCAGACCGGTCTACCCTTCGATCTTCTCTTCTTTCATCCCGCTCGAGGTCATCACTTCGTCCTTGATGTCGTACCGGTGAGCTTGCTCTCTGATCTGTGAAGAGAGGCAGGTTTGATTACCAAGTGCTAAAGGGACCTACACGGCTTCCACTACACTGATAAAAACCCAAGAGCTTTTGTTTTGACAATCTAGATATTGGTTGTAATTAAATGAAAAGCAACTCCCTGCAGAAACTTGGAAATTCTCTTTGGGGAGGGAAAAAGACAAAATGCAGTACTAATTTTGAAAGATTTTTTCAATATATAGAGAGTGGGCTTTCCTTACTTTAGCCAAAAGTTACTACAAAAATTTTATTTTCTACCATTTTTTTCTGAATGGCTTCAAAAGACAATTATACACCTCACGGCCTAGGTATTACTATTGCATTACTTAGTGATTCAAAATCTGGTATAAGGGCTTGAAAAGCTCTGAATGACATACTAATGCTAAGACTTCCGTACGAAAATTTTACTTCCTAAAACTGTTAAGTGTCACGGGCTTTACAAGAATTCAGGCTATTTATAATACACGATAAAAGTTACTGCAAAATAAGAAATACTAGCCTGTCTCGTCACAGAAGAAGAGATCCCTGCACAGAAAGACACAACCAAATCCATGAGAAAGGGAGAGGCAGGGATGCAATACAGGAAGCAGAACTGCTGGAAGTTTCCATTTGTATTCAGTGCAGAGCCTTAAGAGTTTTAGAAGCTGAGTTTTTCATTGTTCAGACAGTGGATTAGAGTCAGGGAGAAAACAAAATTTCTACAGAAAATGACTGATCCAGGAGGACGGTGAAACCTGATTTATCTAATGGCATCTACTCTCCACAGACTTAGCTGCATTTTGTTAGTTACAGTTTGGATATTTTTTAAAAATATTTCTATAAATTTTGACCACTTTACAGCAATTCCTATGCTGATGTTAGTAGTATTTGAATCACAACAAATCAATAAAACTGTTTTTCCCCAGTATATATTAAAGGCACTATGCAAAAGAGCAAAAAATGCCATGAACAGAAGTTGGTATTTTTCGGTCCATTACCCTGGGGCTGAGTGCACTTCACTGTAAATTGAGACAACATCCACCAGGGGTGAGCAGGCAAGAGTTTGAACAGGACTAAATCAATAAACCATGCATTTCCACCAGTTTAATCAATTTTCATCTCCGAGTGAATTAAAAATGACTTAATGCTCCCCTGTTATCAGGTAAAATTAAAAGCAACCTTGAGTGACAGTTCTGCCATGGATTTAATACTTTTTTAAAAAGGCATATCATCAGTCCACGCAATTGGTTCCATGGACAGGTTTCACATTCTTTTAACAGTGCCTATAACATTATAATATGATTTATGAGGCATACTAAGTATTAGATTTTATACAGATGTTCTGTAACTCCCATTTGTTATGTCAGTTTTGGTGACAAAACACCTACATGAAACTCTTAGATGAATCAAGATACTGGAAGTGTATTAGACAATTAAACATCGATAATCAGCAACTTCTTACGTGATTTCATTATTTGAAGAGCTGTTCCACTGGTTGTTTGGAACATCTACATATTTGCTTTAGTTGAACAAAGAAAGCCAAAACTTGCAAGGTTACATTTTAAAAACATACCAAAAGGATTCCTCACATATCATAGAACTAAGTACCAAGCAAAATCTATCTCCATTTTTCTCTTAATGACAAACATTAAAACTGTGGTCTAATTATGGAAATGATGTCTTGAATTGTAACTCTGAGAAGGATTTATATTACAAAAAGCAATCTAAATTTTTAAGGAAGAAAACAACAACTCTTACCTCCAGTCAAGCTCTTTACAAAGAGCTCCCCCCCGCAAAGGGAAACACAACCCATTCAAAGCAACTTCCCTTCTAGAAATTTATTTTGTTGTGATGACATATTTTTACTTCTGAGGGTTTTTTTTCAGGTTTGTTTGGTTTTTTTTTTTTAAATGTTTTTCTTAATAAATTAGGAACTCTGTATGATATGAAAAGCACAAATGACATTATAATATATCTAGGATTTATTGGGGGCAGGGAGGTGGAAGAGATGAAAGCTAGTCTGTAAAAGCCAACCCTCAGGACACATTCAGACTGCAGGATTTTTCAGCTGACAAGGAAAAGGAAGCTTGGAGATAGGTTTGTTGAAATCCTGCCTTGAAGATGAGACAGAATCTAAAGCAGAACCTGCCACAAGAACAAGCAATAACACATATATTTCAATGGACCAAAAAACACCTCACAAAGTAACATACAAAACATCTCTTTGAAAAACTGAAGTTCAACAACAGCTAGAATGTATCCGTCATGTCCAAATCAAAACTCAAGATAGAAAAAAAAAAACCCCACTGTGATTTTATATTTATTCTTCACAGCTCCTCATTTCATTTTCATGCTGTTTTCATTTGCCTGACGACTCCTGTTCTCTTAATTGGTGAGCAATACCAATATTTTCCAGACTGAAAGTTGGTACTAAGTTCCTTAGAGACAACAGTACTCTTTTAGGTGCAGAAGTGTGACATATTGCATACTATGTCTAAAAGAACAGTCTTGTATACTCTTTCTGTGATCACTGGTATCTGTACCAACACTTACTAGCCAATTATTACTGACCACAACAAAGCATTCATCAATACTAAATTCCCCAGGCAACAAATTTTTGAATTAATCTTAAATTTAAATTTTCACTTGCTTAAGTACTAAGTTATCAGTCTAGTAGTCAGGCCTTCCCCAAAACACACTCACGTTATCTACAGTGCAAAAGTGCTATGTTTCTATACAGACAAACAGAACCAGTAATGAAATGCAGTCATGACCCTGAGCTTACATGCGTATGTACATGAAGTGGAGGAGGAGATGCAGAGAAGGAAGAAAATATTTTACAGTGAAGTTGTACAATGAAATCTCTTGAAGAAATTTAGTTTTTTTAAAGACTACTTGGATGAATAAAAACAGAAAGCGCCAAAAATCTAGCCATAGGAAGGGAGAAAGGGCACAGCATTCATGCATACACTGCCAATGAGATATCTTACTACAGAAGTTAACTTACATCAAGGATAAGACTAGTGTCAGTGTGCCATGTCAAATGAGTTATTTATGAATTAGCGTTATGGGGGTGGAACAAGGGAAAAGAAAAAGGGAGGAAGAGAGAAACATACATACAAACACACTTGACTACATATGTAGGTGTGAAAATATATATTAAAATACCTCTTTCTCTGTTGTCACGCCTGTCCCGTTCACCATGTCTTCTTTCAAAGGAGGAATCCCTTGCTTGTTCTCGACTGTCATAGCGATCCCGATCAGGGTAGCTACTCCTTGATTCCCAGCTGTCATGGTAGTTTCCACTACTGCTGTGACTATCAACCTGGGATCCTCTAGTCCCCCGACTTCCTAATAGAGATGTATCAATATAAAAGATGAGTTTCCAGGCATAAGGAAATCCACTGATATTTTATACCAACAAAAGTAGTAACTTTTCATAAACTTGAATTAACTGTTCATAGAAATAGAAATTGTAGCGTCAAACTCAACTAACAACTCTCAAATTTCACATTTTAATCATAAAGTTATTATTTTCAAACTGCAAACTCAAGACTTCCTAAATCACCATCCCCTGGTCACAGCATGAGGTCTCCTGACTAGGAATATAATACTCCAAAAGCCAGTCCACACTTTTTCCCCCCTGAGTAGGTTGTAAACTTACAGATAGCGCAACAAGAATAAGCAAAGAAAGTAGAGATCATTTTTCCTGTAAAAATTCTATGGTGTCTTCCTAATGAAGACGTCACAATAAGCCCAAAACGTATTTACTACAGATGATTAAAAAGTGGAAAGCGAAGCTGTTCTACAAAGTGCATCGGGCTTTCAAAAATACCGCCAAAGGTTAAAATCCCACTTTTTTTGGTCAGTCAAGGGCAGGGTAGTGAAAGACAGTTTTCAGGTACCTAAGACATGCAGTTGCTTTTGAGAGAAAACAATAAAACTGCTGCCCAGTACTTTGAGACACACTGCCCCCTACAAATCTTCCACTACACATCAGCCTCTTACTTGTGTTTGTAGCCCATGGGAAAACCTAGGGTTGTAGAAACATTAAAGAGAGTGGTGTAGAGGTTAGGTTTGTTTTAAAATGGGATGGCAGAATACCAATGTTATGCCACTTTAATGAATGGAGAACACAGAAATGCTATAAATTTAAGCAACTGCTCTAATTTAACAACAGAATTGAATATAGCTTTAAAAGCATGAACTATTTGGCAGCACCTCCATATCAAATATCAAACAAGACAGTATGAATGTCAATATTCAATCTCCAATGACAGGATGCTTATTAATTATTTAAATCACACAATACCCTTGTCAGATAATTCTGGACCTCTGCCTCTGCTTCTGCCAGTTCTATCACTTCTGCTCTCATTTCTGGAGTCACTTCTGGAGTCATTCCTTGTTTCAGCACGAGAGCTCTCCTCTCTGCCATGGGATCTTCCATAGCTGCGCGAGTCCTCCTGATACTGATCATCCTTTTTATGGGCATCACGACTCTCTCTGTCTCTGTAGTCATGGGAATCTCGTGTGGAGCGTGAGTCTCTCTGATCACGACTATCTTTGGTATCTCTGCTATAGTCCCTCGTATCTCTGGAGTCTCGAGTGTCTCTGGATTCCCTTGGCTCCCTCCGATCTCTGTTGTCTCTTGTCTCCCTCCGATCCCTTCCATCACGAGACTCTCTGTCATCTCTATGATCCCTGGAGGTACTCTGCTCCTGGTCATAATCACGATCATCTCTTGTTTCTCTTTCTTTTTCCCTTTTCCCTCTAGTTTCTGTAAAATGTTTAAAAGAATGTTACACACCTAGCTTAATCAGAGCATGCAAAAATTTAGCACACAAACAACACTAAAATAATACAATCAAAATATACTTCTGACATATGCATAGAAAAACCAAAATTAATATGTAAGTAGGAGAAGATCATGTTGGGTATCTACCTATAAGTTCAGTAAGCTTTATAGATCTTTTTATGAATTTCAACCCGTACTTTACAAATATTTACCTGTTCAAAAGACAATAAGTATAATAAAAATAAATTTCAAACATATTAGAGAGCAAGCACACTTCACTAATTTTAAAGTAGGATCATTTCTCCTCCAATCATAGATCCCTTTTTTTCTCCACACACACACATTTTCAGGATATTTGTGCTATACTTAGACTACTTGCTTTTAAGACTCAATGCTCTGCTAAATTTCCTTTTTTTTTTTTTTTTTTTTTTAAATTACATATTTATAATGTTACTCCTACAGGAAGGTAAGTTTACAGCCAGTCTAAAAAAAGCTGACATATGTACTCTTTGTAATCAGTCTCTTGAGAGAAATGGCATGTTTGCCCATCACAAATTGCTCAACCAGTGTTACGGGTTTCCAGAGGGAATGACTGTTTCTTTGCACACACCTCACAACGTCAGACAATAAAAAGACAACAGACAGAGCAATCAGTGAGGACTGGGGTAGCATTTGGCCACCTCACAGAAAAGACTAATAGTTACTTACAAGTATCCTGCTGCCACTCAGCTGATCCACTAGTATATGCTTCGTAACAGGAGAAGATCACTTACCTACTGACACCACCAATGCATTACACAAGAAACACCTACACAGACGCCTACAGGATCTTTACAATCAGCTGAGCCTACCTAAGCAGTCTTATCTGGAATACTCCATTGCACAGTCCCTGAAAACAGCACCACCAGCACAGGAATCATAATACAGCTAGCATTTTCTTCACCCCCTAGCCATTAGGATAGGTGCAGACAATGCCACAATTTGAAAATCAAGTTTCAAAATGCAATTTGCAAAAAAATAAAAATTATTCTGAAGTGCTATTTTTATTCATACCATCCCGTCTTTCGTGGCGCCTATCATGAGACTGTGAAGTCCGATCACGATCATGTCTTCCCTTTTCTCTTCCAGGAGATCGGTGTCTCGAAGGGCTTCGCTTCCTCTGAGGAGAAGAGGAAGAGTGTGGGGGATAGGGAGATGATGATCGTCTTGCAGGCGGGGAAGCTGTCCTTTGATAGGATGGAGAAGGAGTTCTTTTGCGGTGTGGGGAAGGAGAATGTCTTTGAATAGAGGAGCCTGACTGTGATGAAGAGGAGTGATGTCTGGAGGATATGGGAGAATGATGCTGACCTGATGGGGAAGCAGACCTGCAAGGAAGAGTGAGAATAACTCGCATGTAATAACTTGATTTGAAAGGTTCTTACCACAGCCTACAAAAAAAGTGATTAAAGTAATTTGTGCATTCTCTACCCTCTGTCTGCTGAAATAGATGCTGTTTCTGTAAAACATCAAACTAGTCTTCCCTCAAGGGTACCGAGCATATTTTTTCAAAGTATGCTTAGTTTTAAATAGCTATAGTTTATTTAATATTCAAGAATAAGTTGTCCAATCAAAATTATATTACACACCTACCAGAATGCTTTCCTAGGGGAAGGGAGGGAGGAGTCAGAAAAACCATGATCTTCTCCCCCACACTCAAACCAAGTATTGTTTTCTTCAATATAAAATGCTTTTTGGAGGTTCATGGTAATACTAGGCAGATAACTTTTACATGGCGTTATCTAAGGGGAATTTTTCTTCTTTTGTTTCCAACAGCATTCAATTTTTTAGAAAGCAACAATGTCTCCTTCTTGTGCAATTTTAACTTTTTTCTTTTATTATAAGTATTGATCTTTAAACAATTTAGGCCTGGATCCTGAAAATCCATATGCATATCTACCTACAGTTTTAGCAAACATGAATGTTTACACACAGAGCAAAACTCTTATCTAATGGAATAAGAAAAAGTATACAAAGCGTCTCTCATCTTTGAAATCCCATCACTTAACTAAAGATCATTTACACAACAGTAAACAAATTTCCTCATAATAAGTTATCCCTTGCAGTCTAATGTGGACAAACGCACACTTCAAGCCTTTGAGCTCAGTAATGAGTTTTTTTCCCCCCCCATCAGCACCAAAGCAAGCTCCAAGTATCTTTTCTCATGAAATATGCATTGCCCTTAACTCCCAGCTGCCTTCCACTTCACAAAATTCCAGAGACTCCAAAGAGAAGAGCAGAAGTCAGAAAAAACACACTTAGACAATACATCTTCAAAAATCCCACTTAAAATTAAGTAATTTAGTTCTTGCTTTTCAATGTCCATATACAGTGTTGGTGACTTCAAGCAAACATCCAGATCGTGCAGATGAAGCTCTCAATTTCAGGTGACTCACAAATGCGGGGCTACTTTACCATGGGCAGTAGTACCTCCCTGCAATTTTGTGCAATAGCCCAGCAGTTGGTAAAGATATAGATGTAACACACCTTTTGCTGAGTATCTTGCAAACGTCAGAAGAAATTCTGCTCAGTGAGGTAGCTGATATCAGTTGGGCTCTGAAGAGAATGAGCTCTGGAGTAATTTGGGTTAGCAGGCTTACAGCCTGTCATGACACTATCCAAGAGCCAAATGGACAGTTGCCCAGCCAATGCTACTCAGCAGTGGATCTCCTGGCTAAGGCTTCTTAAAGACTCAGATTCTGCAGGTGAGAAGATTCTCCTCATGTCGAAAACACACAGCAATGATTCAGCTCCCAAGAAGCAAAGTTTTGGGAATGGAATACAAAGCGATATCACTGGCGACCTGAGGTAGGAACTCAAGTCTGTAAGGAAATCCTTTTTGGGTAAAAGACAACATGGTGGAAATCTTCTATTAATATCAGTATTTCAGTCTTCCTTCTAGTCAATGTCAGTGACTCAAGAAAACTGCCTTCAGAACCCCACAGAGCAGTATGGTGACTACCAATCTCATGAAGACAGTGATTTTACAGCCAGACTCCATTACAGAACCAGATATATTCACTTGAAGGAAGCATCTTGACTTGATTGTTGAGGCACTTCAGACTTGTCCATTGAGAAAAGCCAAACAAAATTTTTGCAGGATGGGCTGAAACAATACTTGAACTGAGGACTTCAACTCTACTAGAAAACATACCCAGAAAAATGGCAGAAAGAAAGGGGTGAGACAGAAAAATAAATAAAACAAGCCTTGGGAACATGCTTAACTAGGACACCCTGAAGAACAGGATACATCTGTTTTTTAAAATTTAATTCATATTGTGTCTCTAAGCTTGTATGCTCAGATATTGTCAGGCCTGGAGACTATCCCACTGAGATGCGTTTATGATAGTCAATGCCAGAGAATATTTGGACACCTCAACAACAGACTAAGATTCTGTATCTCCTTGTCTGAAGACCTAAAAGTGCATGGAATCCAGCTGATGCACTCCTGATGTGGCTTAGGGATGCCTGTAACTTCTACACACAGTCTGACCTCCAGGATGCTTATGTGTAGCTTCATTTGTCTGGAAAATTAAAAAGCCTCAAGGTCTCCTTGCGCATGCTATCAGTAAGCATTCCTCATGGATGGCAGGGAAGAGGAAACTCAGTTTCACTGCCTCCATGGATATATACTCATGCTGGCCGCAGCTTTCTATCACAAGAGGGACTGACGACTATTCCCCAGGGAACAAGTAGCCTGCATGCCTCTAAGATGACAATTTGTATACATTGTCACATACAAATGAAACAGAGTGCCTAGAATTAGTAGCAAAATTTCCAAAGCACTTGAAGTAAAATTCTGAGAGTCAGAAATGACTGACAGAACCTAATATAACTTCATGACTTACCATCTTTAAACTAAGACTACATTTACTTTTTGCCATTAAACCATTACTATGAAACACAGGATTACCAAAATTGGCTTGCATGGAAGTCTATCAATGGTATTTTTCAGTCTCCTTACTACTGCCAGCTGCAGAAGGAACAGGCTGCTCTACTCCCTTCCCTGTAAACAATCCAATTTTGAGAAAGTGTCTATCAGTGACATCTAGCTTAATACAATACATCGTTCCAGTTGAATTGCATCACCACAGCAGCAAAAGAGATGGCTTATGACTCTTAGGATTGCTGAAGAGATGGCTTTTATTTTGCTTGTTTTATCAGTGTGTAGATATATACGATACCCGATGTCTTTCCCCCACACTTCAACAGAAGTTCAGAAAATAAGCATGCCTCCCTCCACATAGGACTGCAGTAGTATTTAGTATGGCCATTCTAAACCTAAGAATTAGGCCCAAGTCTAAGCTTATAGACTTCTTCAGACCACAATAAGAAGCCTCCTCCTTTCTTTTTAATGGGTGGTAAAAGATTTCTTTTCTAAAGCCCCTAGGACTAGCAGGATGATATCTTCCCTGAAGCTTCCTGCAAGAATGGTCTCTGAAACTGTCCTCATAGTGTACTGTTTAAGCCAGTTGTGCTTGCTTTTCAGGAAAGATGTGTAGAGCCAGGATCTATATATCACCTTACCCATTTTAGAACCAAGAAACTCTGCTCCTTCCCCATCTCCAAGACAGAAAACTTCTCACACTTGCTACTTTTTAAGAAGAGGGAAGGTGAGGAAGAAATAAAAAGGTCCCAAAGGATTATAGACTATGTCTCTCATCACATTTCTGAAGTCCTACCTAAAGCCAAAACATTTATGAGGAACTGATAAACGGAAGCCTGCTCCATGACTTGTGTTCTTGACATGACAGGTACTCTCAATGTAGTAATTTGGGGAAAAAAAAAAAAAAGTCTCACAGCTCAAATGTTTTAGGCACACACATACCCACAACAGACACATACAAACAAGTAATCAAACCAACAGAGAAGTTTCTAAACTAGAACTATTCATGGAAATAAAATCCATGCAATTGACCTCCCACCTGCGAGAGGGCGAGAAGTTATGTTTGTGAGTGGTTGACTTGGCTGGAGCTCGGGAGGTTTGTCTTCGCCTTGCAGCAGGTGGTGAATACTCCCTGGAAGGGGAAGAATTACTGCCAGAATGATCTGCAGGACTAGGAGAACGCTTCTGTCTATGGGAGTTTTCAGAGGGATCCCTGGGAAACATAAAACAGCAGCTTGTTTAACAGGTGTAATACGGCATTAGTACATTTCTAAGAAATTACAAATAACTCCAAGACAGAATCTGTGCTTACAAGATCAAGAACTATGTCACAGAATCATTTTTTCCATCTATAATTTCATATATGAAATTATCTTAAGATCATAAAACTCAAGAATGCAAGATATGCACTAAATCTCTTGCTAATCACTGGATTGTAAAATACAAAATTCGAATATGGTAAAACCAAAAATATATTCTTGCAATTTTACCTAATATTTCACATGGCGGTGAAACAGAATTCCTATCAATGGAGAACTATCTTGCTACCCTATTTAAAAGATTCTGTATTGCCAGAACTTTCTTTAAGAAGCCTCAAGCTCACAGACATTTTTAAACACTAATCACCATTGCAAATGAATGAAAGATGTCAGAAGCTTCAATGATTTCACTTACTGTACATCATGAAGATTTGACATTATTTCTTAATTTTTATTATTTAGGAAAAAAAAGACAAAAATCCAGCACTGAAATAAAAGGCTGCAGTCACCATAGCAATACCTGATTATAGTATAATGGTAGGCCAAGTGCTCTCCTGATCCTTTCAGAACTACCTAGAATATTCTTTTCTACTACTTACGACCTCCTTCCATTAATGGAGTATACAAGCATAAGGGAAGTAATATATATTGAAGAAAGAATGGTGTAATTTATTTAATCAATTAAAAATACACAATTCACTGGTCTTCCACTCCTTAGTCTTTGGTACGCCAGTTACAAAGCAAACACTTACAAACATGTACCCTATTTTCATCAAGGGAATACAGGACTTAAAAATGCAGATGTTGTATTTTTTACTCAAATGGACACCGACACTTCAGAAAATAACTGTTATAGTCATATTAGTCCGCCATTTGAGACAGAGTGAGAGAGAGACATATGCAAAAGTGAAGTAATTCTAAAATTGCAGTAGTCTTTGACTACTTTAGAAATACTTTTAACCTACTGAAGATTAGGGAGAATTTAAACGTGCCACTGCCAATTTAGAAAGATATTAGTCCTCTAAGATTTCAGAAGAGCAGGCAAGCAGACAAGTGAATGACTTTGATAAAGATTTTGGCAAACGAATTGCTCCATTGGTGAAGGTCCAACTTTCTGAAAAGTAATGAATCTTTCAAAAGGGCATTTTACAAACTTACTAAGTTATGTAATTAAACCTACCAATCTGTTAGTTATAGTCAATAAATCCATCTATATAACGCACTTAAAATATTTAATAAGTCCTCAAAAGGTTGTTGGCAAAGCAGGTATAAATCCCTTATTACTCAGTGTTCTGTAAAAGATAACTTTAAAAGCAAGGTCACATTAATGTTAAAAGCTAATAGTGCAATATAACTTACCTCTGCTTCTCTTTCTTCTCTTTGTGCCTTTCAAAGTCACGCCCTCTCTCTTTCACCTCCCTTGCCTTTTCTTCTGAACGTTCTTTTGCTTTATGTTTTTCTTTGTGTTTTTTCCCCAGGGGAGTTTCCTCTTGTACTGGAGGAGGAGGACTAGGGGTTCGAGGACCTTTCTTTTTACTCTGGTTACTTTTAGAACTCCTAGAGATAAATTAACAGAGGGGGGGGTTAAATTAAGGACTGCCAACTATTTCAAATAATGATTTCTCAGATGTTGGCAGGAAAGTTATAACGGAAAGGGCCTTGAAGCTTTTAGGGTAGGATTCAACACTCCATTAGCAAGCAGGATTCAATAACTGTACTTGACTGAAGGTTGAACACAGATAGTAAAAATTCACACTGAGCTCTTATATTGATAACCTTTATTTCTGAACCAAGTGAACAAAACCAGGAATTGCTCCCATTCAGACAGAACTAGTTTTCAAAGTTAAAATGCCCTTGCATGAACTGCACACACCAGAGGACCAGAACTCTACAATGTCAATTTAATGTTAACTACCTGACGCAGGATAAAGCATCCAAATATTTTTGAATATGCAATTCACAATATGAAATAGTATAACATTTTTCCATATAAACTACCACTCACATAAACCCTATTAAACTAGGTATCACTGCATACTGAATGTCAGTAGCATACTAGCCCATGCTGTACATTCTCATAGCAGAAACAACATTGTTTTGTCCCTATTTTAAAAGGGGATTTTTGCTTAGCAAATACAGATGTGTCTGCTTACAGTGCTGCAGTAATTTCTTTTCCATCTAAAAGCTGCAAACAGTAATTCAAAAGGTTCTGCAGCCAGCAAGAACTTCAAAACAGTTTTTGGAGATTGACTTTTTGTGGCAAGGCACCCAGTTTGAACTTCCTGTGATTGTCACACACCTTGTCCTTATTTTTTTCTCTCCCCACCACATCCCCCACTTCTTTTCCTCTCCTGAATTCTAAGAAACTCCCTGCCTTGAAAGTCAAACATTATTTCCTGAACAGCAATATGCAATACCAATAGAACGTGTAGTTGATCAAATTTTAAATATTTCACTTCAGTCTAGAGGAGCTATTTCACAGGCTGCAGCATCTCAAATAAAATTGCTTTTCACTTTTTAATGGTTTATATTTCCTCATCACCTCCCAGAGACTCTGGACATTCGAAAAAAAAAGACCTGCTTGTAAACCATGAAATTAATTAACTGGTAACTACACGCGTATAACAATTTTCTGCATAAGATGATTCACAGTGCACAACTTAGAGACCTGCCCCTAAAGTTATATAATCAAAAGTCCATATTAATTATGAAAAGCCCAGTAATCAGAATCAGAGTGGTTCTCTGTTCTTGCAAGATGCATCTACCTACTGACCTCTGCTGATCCAAAAGTGGGGAAGATACAGTAGATGCTTTCTTCTCTTTCTTACTAGCCGAAGATGATGATTTGGGACTGGATCTTCGTTTTGGAGATTTGCTAGACTTTCTTGGTGATGGTGATAATTTAGATCTAACCACCTCTGGAGAAATCTTGAGGAAAATAATATATTAACCAATAAGATATTGATGCAGAAAAGCTTACCTGTATGCTGATATACATGTCAAATATGTAAATTCATTAACAGTCTACATCTGAGATCTTAACTATGTACACATCTACCTCAAATAAACTAGCCACACTGTTTTCAAAGAACACCATAAAAGGAAGATGACAGGAAAAGGGTGTGGGAAGAGAACATGATGTACTCTGTAACACATTACAAAAACTTCAACTAAAAGTTTAAAATCAGTAGGTTCCCAGTTAGCACTCAAGTTTGTCCGAAAAAGACAGACCTCCTTTCAGGCTTTTTTTTTTTTTAAATCTTCCCAAAAATTTTACCGTTTCTAACATGTACAGCTTTGCCTCTGTCACTCCACTTTACTCTGTTACTACAAGACACGTTGGAAAAGGAGCTTGGCAAATGCCTTGTGTTTTATTCTACATGTCTTCTCTGTTAAAGGTCTTATTAGTTTTATATCATTAAGATGCATTAAATCCCACTCATTTAATAGCCCACTTCATAATGCAGAAAACTTGGGTTATGATGCTGGATAATTGACCAGACAACTAATCCAAGGTGCATACTAAGTTATACAAATGCCAGTTACTTACTACTATGTAACACAACAGTGCATTTGTAGCCCAGGAAGCTCAAGCCTTCAGAAAACAACTAGAAAAAGCTTATGAAGTGGCTGATGACTTTTTTTTTTTTAACATCACATTTAGGTAATACAAACCTCTTTTTTAATGACTATTTCCTCTCGTTTCTCCATGTTTTCCTGTTCCAACTTCATGAGTTCTCTCTGAATCTTCTGGCGCTTCATTTCCAAAGACAGCTCATGATCATAATCATAATTAACATCTCCATTATCAGAGTCTTTATTTTAAGAAAAGTAAATAATTAGTAAACAATTACATATGAAGTAAAGAATAATATTTAGCATACTGGATGGCATGCATAAATATTTCCATGACTTTTAAGCACTGGATGAATGGATCAATGAAGCCAAGCCAAATCTTTTCTTGAATTATGTGTGTAAACCTGAAATAACTCCAGTTAGTTCCATAGAACCTGCAGTTAAATTCTTAAACTTCATTAAAAAAAAAAAACACCTTAACTTCCTTCAGACACTTACATCAATTATTAACCTAAGATAGCAAGGGAAACACAGTAAACCATTTATTTATATTTAAATAACAAAAAAAATTAAAAGAGTGCGTCTTCACAAAGACCAAAAATATGTAGAGCACTACTTAATTGGGAAATCTCACATGAAATTGATTTAAGTAGAGATGCATGATACTGGAGGATTTTGTTTAATAGAGTACACCACAAATCAATTGATACACTTATTTAATAACATCTACAAATTGATTTTAAAATGAAAGAGGTCTATATGACACACTTAAAGAGTTTATTTCTGTTTTTAAAACATTTTTACTGTTTGATTTTCACATCAGAAAAGGTGCTATTTCTCTCACTTTTTCATTAAGTCATAGCTAGTTAATATATGCTTCAAGCCTAGCAAGTTAAATCTTACTGAAAATTAAAGCAGTTTTACTCACTCTGTTTACGTTTCTTATTTTGTTTATGGCTAATGCTCAAAAAGCGCTTTAGGAAAATAACTGTCAGAGAAAAGATGACTTCATTAAAAAGTCATTAGCTTTCACTCCCCTTCCTACACACAGGAACTATATCAAAGGTTTTGCAATAACTAAACTCAGTCTACAAATTCCCTTCATGTGTCATGAATGCATAGGAACACTTTATACAGAGGTGCAGTTCCTAACAGCACAGGTTCTTTCCCAGTCCATCTGTCTGCTTATCAACTGCACTCAACTAGAACTTAGTAATTCTATTTCATCTGCATAATTATGCTCAACACTATTTTGAAAAAAAAATAAATGAAAATTCTCAAGTTGAAAGCCTCAGTGTCTAAGACTTAAGACATTCATACTATATATTTATATAGAACTTAAATTTTTTTTTATGTTCCAAACTTCTTTGACTTAGATTCTATTTTCATGCACACATGTCATAAGTCAATGTTTCTTCAATCACGCCAAAACCAAAATTTAAAAAGGAGTAAAAATATATTACAGCTACTTTTCTATTCATGTATTGCGCTTACAACGCAGCAAAACAATATTTGCAACACTTACAGCACATACTATAGAAAAGCTACCTACTTAAGGAGATTTACAGATGAGCTCCATCCCACAAACAACTGGTAGTATACTTTATTGCACAAACATTCATTATATCTAAATTCACTCAGAATGAATCAGGATTCCCATCTTCTCTTGCAATATTGTAACTACTTCTGAAACACTGACACTTAAAAAACTACATAAACAAAAAAACAAACAAACAAAAACTTCTAACTGTTTGTTAGAAGTTGCCATAATTGCATTGCCATAATTTCACTGCCAGGTGAACTTGGTCTCTAGCAAAAGTGAAACTCAGGAGAGAGGAGCAAACAAAGACAGTCTTTCCCTCAACTGTCTGCATATTGAACAGACAAGTATTATCAACAGGACAACAAAATCACCTTTTAACCATTAAAAAACAAACAGAAAAACCCCCCCTACCCAATCAAAAACTACTACAGGAGGTAATACAAGACTCCTACCACTCTTTGAGTGTTTATAGACTATAAGTAGTTCACCGATTGCTACCTTCAGCTGTTGTTACACTCATTCTAATGGAGCCCTTGTTAATGAGACAGTTCACACCCTTATAAATAATGCAACAAAAACCTGCTGCCTGCTCAATTCAAAGGAGTGATGCTCTCTCCTCAGTTTCAAAATTACGTTGGATGTAACTTGGATTCAACGTGCGGTCTAAATGTGAAAGGTTCAGTCAGCCACCGAGTAGCCTATAGCCAAGTTCCTTCTTGTCTGAGGATTCAAAAAAGAAAGCAGGAAAAAGAAAAGAGCATATGTTTTTAAAGTAAGTTGGTTTTACCATTGTAGCAGTCCAACTCAGATTGCTGCTTTGCTCTCCTCCAAAAATAAACATTAATAGCTCCTGCATGAAAGTGTTCTGCCTAGAGATCAAATCTTTAAGCATTCTGCTTTACATACAGCCCAGTAATCTTGCAATTCTTTGAGCTGCAGGGGTACCATTAGTTTCGTTGTACTTACCTTCTCTATTTGTTTCCCAATCCCCATTTTCCTCTTCACTTTCTGGTGTTCTCTCCTTTGTAATTTTGATATCCTCTTTCTCTCTATGTCTTCCTCGTGAAGACTCTTTCTATAAAGGGAAAAATGCTGCATTAGAGTAAACAACTTTATTTTAAAAGAAGCCTGAAGAAGCAGGTATATTTTACACGGTATTTTGGCTGGTTTTGGGTTTTTTTGTACAGAAAGCATTTTCCCCTTTAGCTTGTTGAATACCTTTTTAAATAAGCAGAGACTCCACAGGCAACATGTTCTAATGCAATTTCATATAATCGGTATGCAAAGAGCAGATAAGGAAAAGAGAAGAAAGGATTCATAAAATAAGAAGGTTTAAAGGCAGGGCAAGAATCGAGCATGTATCAGAGAATGTTTAAAACAAGGAATCGCAAGAACAGATCAGGTTCTTAAGACTAGAAGTTTAATGAACATTTAAAGAGTACAATTTTAACAGCTTGAGTAAGAGTTCGCAGCTGTAAATAAGAATATTTATATGCAAGGCAGATGACTCTCAAAAGCTAAACCATTTATCTCTCCAGGGCATAAAGAATGGGGGAGGGGGTTAAAAAAAAAAAAAAAAAAAAAAAAAAAAAAAGACCCTTGGCTGGCAGAAGAAATGGGAAAAAAGCCTAAAGCAACACACCGGAATCAAGTTTTGTTGGTCGCTTTATTTGAACTTTCACTGGCCCCAAGTTACTAGACAAGTCTAACTATTGCAGTAGCACCCCTTTAGCATGTGGCAGATGATCCCGTGGACACCTAAGGAAGCCTGAGACTATCCTTACAGGAAAGAAGATTCAAAAGGCAACTGAACCTGTGCTGCTGCTCTTCTCCCCCTGCTAAATTCCAGTAGTAAAGCTGCATAGTTGCATCATTGCCTCTGCTGAATTGACAGTCTCTAGATAATCTACCTGGGCTCAAGTGGAATACAGGACAAGGTTTTTTCACTATTTGCAAAAAAAAAAAAACAAAACCAACCAAAAACCAAAAAACCCAAAAAACACCAAAAAAAACCCCAAAACATTCAAGCTTAGAATTATCTCAGGCTAATTTATTAAGTAGGAAACCAAAAAGAGCAAATAATGACAGTCTGTCCCATATCCCTTTTGTTCTCACCTCCTATAGTGCCTTCTTTTGTCTTTTGGGGATGGGATTCTTCAGTGTTGATATGTAGGAACCCTCGGTTTTATGCCAAGAAAAAGAGATGCCTGAGAATTTCACTAGTTATTCCTTATTGGGACTTAGATCTTGACTTAATTTAAATGCTTAACATCACCTTAGAAACACAGTAAGGAAATAATACTGTGGGTAGTCACTCCCAAGCATGGATAGTCACTCCCAAGTGAGTAAAATTCAACTATCCCTTTTTATTCACTAACAATGTTAAAATCTTGTATCTAGTTTAATGACGTAAACGATGACAGAACAAGTACTGTATTTATTTTAGCTAGTGAACTAAAGCAGATGCTTCAACGCACAGTTATCTTCAAGCCTCTCATCTTGATGCATTCAGTATATCACATTCAAAGCCTTAGAAGGTTTGGAAAAATCTGACATGAAGGAACTTCACGTTAAAGAACTAATTTGTGTCGTGTTTAATTTAAAGCAGCTTGTAGAATAAGGGAAAAAAAAAAAAAAAAGGTATTTTTTCTCCATTCAATGACAGAATCTCTAAAAATCATGCACAAGATCCTAACCTATCAAGTTGTGTTGGCTGTTGACATCAACTAAGCCATCATGACAACATGTACTAAAGGCATTTCAGTCTAAGAGCAAGAATTGTACTACGCTGCAATGCAAGTTACTTTAAAAGAAAATTACTCTAATGAGATCTGAAAATCTGTAACTTTATTAACAAGCCTCTCCTGCAACCATTCTTTTTCTTCCTTAAAGTATCTTAATTTTTCTAGACTGCCTTCCTTGAAGGCTGCATTTGTTCTATTAAACTGTGTACTTCTGCTATATACTCCAACTAATTCCTACAATGTAAAAAACCAATAAATATAATTCCTTAAACACAAATACTAGTTTCTATTGATTCAACACTATTTGTTACTAGCAAACTGAAATACACGTTAGGACATCCTCTATATACTGATTTCAAAAAACTTCTCAAAGCCAATTCCCCAAATAACTTGTCAGCAGAGAATGTGCAGATGAGTCAGAATGCTTCAAGACCAATTTAATAACCCATGTTAAAAATACTATATGACCCATATGTATCTCACCTACATCTCCAAACAGAACAAAACACAAGCATCTTGAAACAGCCTTTATTTTCTCCTTTCAGTGAGGAGATTCAGTAGTGGCACAATCATACTTCTACAGAAGAACTGAATACAAAAACATCTATGAAAGTACTTTTATTGAATTACTGAATAAAGGGGAAGGGAACAGACAAGTTTTATGCAAGCATGCTATTTCACAAGTCAGGACAACTTGATTCGAGCCTATTCATACACTAAATGACTTCAGTTTAGTTGCCAGGGAAAAAGATTCTGGTAACATTGCATCTTGAAAAACAAATTTCAGTTTAGAAATTGAGTAAATTTTCCTGGGGCATACAAATCAAGAATTTAAGTTATGATGGTTTAGAACGCATATTTGAATTTTCGCATTGAAGTATTCAACATAAGCCCTTTACTGCACTTGTTCCACTCACAACACATTTAATTCCCTCATACTATGGGGAGTAAATATTTCCTTCATATCCTTATAGACTTTCTTGTACTTCACACATTTTTTTCATCACTCCCTTAATAAGCCAAGAATAAAATAAGTCAAGCTCCTAAAGGCCAATAGCATGTCTTTCACTTTTACTTGAAGATGCCATATCCACTTCAGCCACACTTGTAAACTACTTCTCTGCAGACTCTGAAAAAATGCCATTTTCTAGACAAGAAGCAATTATATTATTATGCAAGTTTATTATTTACTTAAAAAAAAAAAAATTTCAGATGGTCCTAAGACTAAACAACCACTTAGTGGACTTTGTCTACACTGTTTTCAGGTATGTGCTCAGTTAAACTATTTACATGTGTTGGATAGATGATTACAGTTTAACGCTGACGTTCAGGAGAAATGCTACTTAAGAAAGGAGAAAAAAAAAAAATACAACGTTATGACTGAATTATGTGAGATTTTATTTAATTTAATGTCTACTTAAGTTGAAGTTCCACACCCCATAAGATATGATCAGCACTCTACAGCACAAGACTTGATGTCTACTTGAATCAATTTCCCACTACGGCCAGAAGAGTTTGGCCAAGCGCAAAAGGACTCATCCAGTCTGCAAAACATGTTTCTAGCCAAGAAGTGTTGTTTTGCCAACACCGATGGAGACAATACTTATAAGACTCTTACAACCTACAATTCTTACAAGGCAGAAGCTTCAGTTCCAGCCTTATCAGCACACATACATGTAAGCAGCAATATAAACTAATTCAAAAGCACAGACTCCTTTAAATCTAGAATGAGCTATTGAATTATAGCTAGAATCTTTTGGGCAAGTATAGTACTATTTTGCTCTAAGTATAATACCTTTATAGTGTAAACTACTACCGCACTATACAAACATACATGAAAATTAATCTGAGTTCCCCTGAAATGAACATGTTTTGTTTCCATTTCAGAGATGGAAGACAATGCTGACTTCCACTTCCAGTGGAGATACTCAAAAGCCACGGTGACAAAAAGCATAGATATGAAGAAAGTGATACACATTCCTTACAAAAACCTTTCCTAAATGTACATTAAGTTCTTCCCACTGTTTCTCCCAAATCACACACACCTCCCAGGTAATACTGTAGGTAACACTTCATATACTTCAATGTAACTGTCTTCTCATAATACGGAAAAAAATTCAACATAAAAATTTCCAACTAAATACAGTAACCGCAGGAACCTTATCTAATTATTTGTATAGTAATTGATACACTGACATACAGCGCTGAAATAATTTCAAACATGTATCTGAGAAACACAGAAACAACCGAGTTCAATGTAGTTGTCCACGTAATGCAGCATATTGTCCCTGAAAATAATAGTACAAGACATAGAATATATCCCTTATTATTTCTTCATAAGCTGTCCATACAGGAAGTTTCTTCCTACAAACACACAGATTATACTAATTATCTTAGTCTCCAAAAAGCAAATAATCTCTTCTAACAAGATTTTATACTAGTTGCACTGTCTCAACTTTTTGTGGAACCTATTCAGGTCTTCGACTTAATCTTCCGGCAATCAGGTAGAATTGTCATAGATAACATAAATAGCATTTCCCCTTGTCATTTTCAAATCTGCCACTCTTTCTACTGGGATAAAGTATGAATATGACGCATCTAATTTACATTTTCTCAACCATACAGTATATGCATTCGCCACATGTCCTTTCTTCTCTCCAGTCTCTTTGTCACCTCCTTGCCCACTTCAAAAAGACTTTTGACTGTATTTTCTTGCATACAGGTGATCACAACCAAACAGCATTTCAAATAAAACTGGACCATGAGTTTCTACAGCATAATATTGCTTATTTTCTATTCCATTTTTATATACCTGAGTGTTTGCTTCTGCAGCTGTGACTGCACTTTGAATAGATGGTTTCATTGAGCTGTCCACAATAACATCTTTTTTACTGGATGGTTTCAGTTACTTTTAAAATATTCATTCATGATTTTTTGTTTTAAATACTTTCTTCATTGTGCATTACCTTGCACTTGCCAACACCAAGTTTCATCTGCCATCTTTTTTCCCCAACCCCTATGGCATTCCTCAGACTTCAGTAATCTCAACTACTGTTTTCATGTCTTCTGCAAAGTTTGACATTGTGATGTCCAACACTTTTTCCACATTCTTAAAAAGTTATAGGTCTCTAGATGAAGCACCACAGCATCCTCTGTAACTTCACCACTTGAAATTAATCTAAAATTTTCCCCTTATCTGGCCTCTAAACCTGGCAATATTGTATCTCCTATTCTTTGACTTTCGATATGCCTCAAAAGCCTCATTTCAAAAGAAGCTATTTTAGGTTTCACCTACATCTGACAGTTCTCTCTTGGCCGCTACTCTCCGTTAAAAGTTTCAGGCTAGTAGACTGGTAAAGCACAAATTTTGTCTACAGAACAGTGCTGCTTGCACTTTTTTTTATTTTTAAAAAAAACATAGTTATGAAGCTTTTTAATGGCACAAGCTACTTTTCGTTATTTCAAAACAAAGTTAAGATTCCTTATCCAGTTTCTCTGTTAATCCAAAAGCTTTTGTAAGAGATGGAAACATCAGATATTAATCTCCACCATAACAGTAGCTCTAACGATGGAGCAAGATTTTTATTAGCAGTTCAGTCACTTCAGTCTTCTTTTCTTTTAGATATTCTGGTTCTTTGCAATTCAACTCTTGATGCCTGTCCCTCTTCATCTAGTTGTTCCAGGATATTTTCTTTGGATAGCCCATATTTTGAGAGTTGCCTCCATGCAACTAATACAAAAGCTCAGTGGTTTCCTTCTGTTTTATGAGATTGAAGCAGAGTATTTTTTTCTCTGCAGCGTGCTTATCTTGTAAATAATTCTTTGGTACTTTAACAGACCCACTAAGTCTCTACTTTGATTCCTGCTTCCAGTTCATCTTTACTTGGGGTTTAGTTGTTTAAGAGTATTTTATTATTACATTAATAAAACACTATAAAAAGCAAGGTTAACTAACCAGAAGTAAGAATTACATCAAAATTAGAGTTGTACCAGAGAGAAGAAGTTACAGTAAATTTTTAATAACGGTTGGAAAAAAACACTTTTCCCACCAACCATGTACTCAATAACTGAACAGTTTATTCAAACTATTAGAAAATAAAAGAAACACATTTAAGTAGAGGAGTAAAAAGATTGAAACTTTACACAAATTAACAGCAACTGAAAACATGATTGGAAGGTAAGGCATTCTGTTAATTTAATGATAGCAGCTGCTGTTGATTTTTTTTTTTTTTACACCTGACATAAAAATTCATTTTACACAGCAAGTAGGAACAGACCGAGAGGAAAAAAAAAAAAAAAAAAAAAAAAAGAACGCTGTTAATACCTGCAGAAGCAAAACTGATTTTTCACAAACAATACCTTTTAATCATTATTCACATGAAGATGGTCTCAAAAAACATGATGCAAGAATACACTGGTGCTATTGTTACAGAGGTGCAGGGTCACACTACCAACTCTGCCCCATCTGTTTGTAACATCAGGAACAGGTAACACAATTTAAAAATAAGTAACTTCTGGTATTTGAGGGGTATAGGATTGCAGAAAGATGATTAGAAAATTACAATGAATGAATTTTTTTCAAAATCCAAAAGTGAGCAATTGGGATGGCTGATGAGTGTGTGAGGATGGAGGTGAAATGAACCAGCACAACAATAACTGCATGGTCTCATCAAAAGCAAATTTGGGATGAACAACTGGAGTCAGGATGCACATAAACAATGGATATGAATAAGTGTTGGGGGAAAAACAGTGGACGATTGGAACAATGGTTAATACACTTCCTTGGTAATAATCAAAGAGTCTGCACTTTTATTAAATACCTGTTTAGCAGTATTTATAACATATTTTAGTCTGTGGGATTTATAAAATCTTTGGGAACCAAAAGATCAGAAAGTGCCATAAAACTGAGAAATAATACAATTATTAAGACACTTCATAATAAAATATGCCACATGCTACGTACAAAACGATCAGTTCATTAAAACATTTTAAGTATTACAAGTCACCATGATCAGATTTTAGGACACACTGCCCAACTGCTACTGAGGGATTCTGGAGTTCTGCAAACTCCATTCTTACCCTAACAGGAGAGGACGATTCCTCTGTGCTTCGTTTCTGTGGCTCTGTCTCAACGTCTTGACGTTTGTTCTTCATTCTTTCCCGAAGATCTCCAGTAGGTCTTTCTGGTGACCTGTATAATACAGAAACATAATATAACCAGTTCTATGGGACTATTTTTAAATTAATACAGTCTGTGTTTTAATTATTTTTTATTACTATATACAGAAAGATCTAAACCTCCCACCCAGAAGCAAAGTGGATGAATAAAAAAATACTCCATTCTAATGGGCTTACGCATTCTAAAAACCCAACTCTTTCAGAATGTCAAGGAAGACTTGACTCTAAGAAGAAAAATTACTTGTATGTATATATGGCATGACTCAGTTACTACTCTAGATCAGCTTCAAGTGATCCTATCCAGAACAAATCTTTTTCTGATCGTCATGCAAATGCGTTTCACAATCACTCCTACCAAGTCTTTCAAGATATCTTTAGCCTTCTCCATATTCTAAGCTGCACCAACTTTCATATATATATATTTTTTATATATAAAAAAATACAATTAATGCAGAGTCAAACTACTGTAGGCTAGCAGTGATAGTCACACAGAAGCACAACTCTGAATAAGGATGAAGTCTGTAAGTGGAGATAACATGACCTAGGTGCCATCCTCCCATGGCCTTGTTGAGAATGCCACACAAAAAAACCACTGTTGCAAGACCATGCACCAAAAATTCATTCTTTGAGGCCTCCTCCATTTTCTATCTTGCAGTTAACATAATTATTTCATTATTTAATTAGAAAATATTGGATGAACTCTACTAGTCATGCAACTTCAAGGTGTACTACCTGTAATAGGTATTACTGTGATGTGGGAAGGGAGGGGGAACATCCTACACTACCACAAGACATCTATAGGATTTTGTCACCTCTTAGTATGGATTCACAAGTTCATTTACCCTTTATGGTTTAAAAAAGAACAACTCTTGCATTGAAACAAGTTCCTAAGCAAAAGGCACATACGAGCTGCTTCAAATGATCTTTCAATTCAAGAAAAAAAACTTTCTCTTTGTATAAATCTGGCTTGATACCGAGTTTGGTACTTTTGTGATAGGTGTTAGCTGTAATTACAGATTCTTCTGTGAAACTGTTGTATGGAAGTACTGCATCTGTACCTATGAGTTTACACTAAAGAATCAGAGAAATTGATGCTGCCTTAGTTGATTAGAAGAGTTATATATAATATTTGAATAATAAAATTTGCATTTGTTTTGTTTTTCAGACTGAACTATGGTTTCAATTTACAAAGTGTTGTTTCCCCCACCCTTCCTCTGTCACATAATACACAAAGGGTAAACCATCTTTCACAGTTTATGCATACAAAAATGTAAATTAATACGATTTCATTTTCAACCTGTGCATATTTGAAAAACAGTAATTGGTTTCCACTTCCTCTTTTGCAATGTTATATATATTTAATTCTTTAAATGCATCATAAGGTTAGGTGTCTCAGGACCTAAGAAGAAAAAGACTAGTGACTGCTCTCATTTTTAAGTGCATTTAATTCTTCATGAAGTTGTAAATACAGGTCAATCTTGATCAGGGGAAAGGTACAAAAACAGTAGTGCGCTGCTGCTTTCAGCACTAAGAAGGATCAAATAATATCCAGCATACAAATATAAGTAAGTTATCTTCTTTGCATGCATGACTATATAATCTTTAAAGTTTCTGGCTTTAGCAAAGGTTATGATTCAAGGTATTTTTTTTTCCGCTCCCCTCATCTTAGAAAGGTAATTCCTTTGCATTACCAAAACTCTGAAGCATTCCAACCATCAGCTACCTCAACAAATAAACTGTCCTTCAACATTAAAGTGGCAATTCAATGCCTTAATTTTTAATAATGTTTCAGCTATGGCACAAAGGATTTGGATTTGTGAAACTGAAAATTAAATTAAAAGGCAAAAAGATTATCTAGAATGTACTAGTAACATTGTTCCTCAAGAGGAGCAATTTCGGGAAGAATCCCAGTAGCTGAAGAAGAAAGCAAGAGAACCTGCACTGAATGCAGCTCATGTACTTTCTAGAGAGGCATCTGATATTTTAATACTTTTTTAAGTTATATGCTGGAGTGAAAAAACATCCAAAGCATTTCATATTCAATTAACACCTTTTTCAGTATGGGAGAGAAGAAAAAAAAAATTGATTTTGTTAAAACGTTATTCAAATCTACTTAAAGCTTACAGTTATCAAGAAATCACAGAAATGAAAAAAAGCTCTAGCTTCAGGGTTGGGGTTTGTTGATGGTTTTTTGTTTGGTTTTGGGGGATTATTTTTTTTTAAGCTTCAGGAGAATACTGGAGCAAAGTCATGGTAACCATTCTACCCCTACTTCCCCAAAAAATTCATAACCCCCCCCAAAGTCTAATAAAATGAGAATGAAAAATTGTCAAATATTAAGAAAGAACTACTCAAGAAGCCGTGATTGCTTTCAGATACTTTGGCTTAATGCACAGAAAACAAGGCGTTCTACTAGCTGATCTTTCTTTCAGATGTACCACAATTTGAATTTCTACACAAAGGCTTCTTTTCTACATAACTTCCCCCCCCATCCCCCTCCAAAAGGGAACTTTGGTCATTCCAAGTAATGCACACTGCTGATTTTCAACAGATAACTACAATTTTACCTCTACAGTTTAAGATGATGTGGCTAGACTGTAACAGGTAGAACCTGTCACACAGAAGGCTCCACATTATTATCCCTGTACACTGAAAGAAGAAAAGTACTCAAGAAAAAAATTCTCTTTAATGACTTAATACTTTGTGCTGGGCCCATCTTTTAAGTAAGGCCTAAAATGCAGAATTTCAAATTCTAAGCAGTGCAGTTAAGTAGTGATTTTAAACAGCATTACTTCCTGCAACAGTTCAGTTCTCCATATTCAGCGCCTCCATTTGCTTCTGTACCTCTTACAGTGTACAACTACCTAGAGCAACAGGCACACATTGCAACACACCTATCTGAGTATACTTGTGTGTGCGCGCACATGTGCATGTATAGGCAGATGACAATTGTTAGTGTATAATGTACACATTATAACTGAATGCTCACAAAACATTGTCCTGTTTTTTAGTTTCCTATATAACAATATTTGAACCTTGCAAAATCCATTATGTTCTTACCTAATATTACTGCTGGTTTGGTTTTTAAATCCAGTGTAACAATCCAGAATGAAGAGGACCAGACAGTCTAAGAGAGGGATGCTACAATGGCATAGACCCTGAAAACAGTGTAAGAGAACCAGCATAAAGCTGCTAAGCAACTAACCAAAGCAAGTAGATTGGAGCAAGAAAGCAAAATTCCTTGTGGGATAGCATGTTCACACACAGCTCCTTCCTTGATAGCTTCTCCTTACTTCAGATGCCTGGAAGACTGGCAGGTCTATTACTGAATTCTTAGTGTCAGGAAAGCTTTGTATGTAAAAACATGCTAGGTTTTATTTTTATAACAGCAAGATTAAAATTCATGCTGTGAGAGGCAGCATTAATGCTGAAACAGAGTTATCATTAAACTAGATTTAAGAGTCTTTTTCACACTTTAGAGTCAAGTTTTCCTACTCTATAGTGATGTTCTGAACTACGGAAGGCATTATGGTCAGAAAAACCATTAACAATGAGATTTACTTTAGACAGGTATAAAATTGAAGGGGCAAGACAGAAAGGCAGCAAGATGTGCTTTGTCCTACCAAACTGCTTGCAAAGCAGACAACAGACTTCACCAGCAGGCCTGGCTGAATATATGTAGGCACACCGCCATTATGTTGTCCCAGATACTTAACAAGGGCGCTGCTTGAACTGAACTGATGTGGAAGCACTGTTAGGTTGGCTTGCAAGAAGCCAATAAAACTGCATTCAAAATACCTGGATAGCATTTGTAAAAATCTCTGTAATGTTAAATGGCATGAAAATGCCAACATTTTATCACGTACATAAACCAGCTTTTTCTACGTGGGGCCAAGAGCTATCAATAGAAACTTCTGAAGAAGAGCATGCTTTTTTTGTTTGCCTGGTTTGGGGGAGGGAGGGAGGGAGGGAGGTAGGGGCTTCCTCCCCCTTTTTGTTTTTAAGAACACCTTTATTAAATGTTGAATGTATCAGGCAAATAAGCAGTAAAACTTTTCCATATAGACCTAGTAAAAAAAAAAGTTAGCAATAAAAAGAAGTAAATCAACATTATTCTTAAACGTGACAGTGAAGCAGAAACACAGCTTTAATCATTAAAAGAAATGTCACTTTTCTTCAAATGACCAAGCAGAACTATGCACTGAGTGTTCCAAACATTGAAAGCAAGGAGAAAGTTAGAATGTAACAGTTTTAAAAATCTAATCTCCACCAGTAAATCAGTCCTGTTTCCCATTTGGAACATTCAGTACAGAAGAGAGTAAAATCTTTTACACACCAGAAGAAACATTACACTGATATGTTTTGCATCCCAGCTACTACCACCTTAGAAGCAATGGAAGATCAAACAAGCAAAGTCAAGATCATTCTGAGAGTATGCCACAGGAACAGGAAAAAGAACCAGAAACAGAACCCTAACCTCATGCCAACCTTCCTGTTGTTGCTGTACACTTTGATGCTTCAGTGTGCATATCCATAATCTAGAGGTAACACTGGCATTACTGTAGCACTATGAAGCACTGTTTGTAGAAGGTAAAGCCTTCATACAAAGAGGTACTGTGCTAAAACTACACTATCTTTTTGTCCTTTATAGCAAGAGTATTACAAACTCACTGCCACATTTAGTTTCAGTTAAGTAAGGTGTTATGCCACAAAAAGGACAGTTGAAAAAAAACATTTTTGAATTATAGTAACATATGAAGATGCAGATAATAAAAAATATGCTCTTCTGAAAAATGAAGTAACTTTTTGTTTCTTCTCCTATGATACACGTTCTATATCTGACAGATAAAGTCACAAAACTATGTTTTGAAGAGAAGTGTTTTCTCACAACAGGAGAGAAAGGATAGACACCTTATTCATCAAACAACATAGTGAAGACAGAAGGGCTGCAAGTATGTGAGTACTGCTGTAAGTAGTTCCAGAACAGCATTTTAGTAAAGGACAGAAAGGCGTATCAGAAGCTGCAGTGACACTATGCAAGAGAAAAAAAAAAAAAAAAAGTATTAAGGTACTTGAACTTCCCATTTCAAGTAATATAAGAAGTTAATTTGCATCCAGTGGACTCCATTATTTTTTTAAAGCTACACACACACAAAAATCCTGGGAAAACCCATTGCAAGTTGCCAAATTAATCATTTTGAGCAGCTTCACAATGCAATTGGTTATTGATAAAACATACCATTAGGCACACCACAGCATTTCACTTTTAAAAAAAATAAAAAACAGAAGACAGTTGCAAAAGCTATTTTCCTATAGCATGTGAAGAATTCAAAGTGAGTTCTTGATTTACCTTCTATAACTGCTGCTATAGCCTTTACCTCGTGGTGAAGGGCCATGTACGAATCTACATGTGTTCCCATAGAGGCAGTTGCCAGTCTTCAGCCAGTTACGGCACTGTGTCTAAGAGACAGACATTACTGGGTGAATTTCACACTCATTTCTGGAAATACCATTGGTGTGAGTGTGGCAGAACAAACAAATGACTCCACATTAACTCCCACTTATCTGTAATTTCTGTCCACCAGTAATATAACTAATTAAAAAAAATATTCAACAATGAGCATCAGGTCTGGCAGAGAAAAATTTAGGCTGGTGGAAATACTATTACTATGTACAGTACTACTGCTCCTCTCCAGAAGCTGGGACAACACACGTTATTTGAAAATTCTAGTATTAGTACGCTGAACACCCATGCGTTATGGAGTTCTTTTCACCTTTACTAACATCAGCCACATCTGAGTATTTGGTGGAAGAAAAGGAGAACACTTTCACAACTCACCTCTGCAGTACTTCCAGTGCTGGGTCCAAGCCTTTCAAACACACTGGGTCTTCGGGATGTGCTATCGGATATGGTCTTGGTATTTTCCACTGTGACCTTCCTTCTAATTTTTGACATTTTGTACTACTTCAACCAAAAAAAAAAGCAAAACTGTAAAATCCTTCAGTTTGGGGCTATTGACACTGAACTCACATGAATAAAATAGTATGATATACGTTGTAAAAGTTGCTGCAGAGGTGATGAAGAAAGAAAAAGAAGTCATAAATGAGTGAAATGTACCTAATGACAAGGAATGCCTCTGATTTGAACTAGTCAGTTGAACACCAGTAATGATAGTTTTTTGTTTTATTTTATGACCTGCTTTGGATTCTTCAGCTTCCCTTTGGGAAAGATCAGATGACATGTTATTCATTTAGGTAGCAAACACCACACAGAACAGATGCTTTCCTTCGTCATGTATTTTTTGTGCATGAACTCAAGTGACTTCAAGTGAAAAGAACCTTTAACCAACCTCTCAGAAATAGGTTCTGACCACTAAAAATGGCTCCCATTTTCAGAAACAAATCTCCAAAAATGAGAGCTCCTTGTTTTTTGGTGTCCTGTCCCCCCGCCCCTCCTTTGTCATGTGTGACAACCTACTGAAAACCACATTGATATCATCCACAGTCTGTGTCTGTTGCTGGTTTGTATCCTACAACTATTTGGAACCACCTGAGTTTAGAAAAAAAAAACCAGAAAACCCCGCAACAGTGATACACTTCTTAAGCTTCTCAAGAAGTAACTCCTTTTCACTAAGAAAAACAGATTTTAAAGCAAATACAGCGTAAGTTTGATAAGTAAGTCACAATTTATCTTACCTGAGAAAGTAAGTAGTTATTGAATACAGAAATAAAACCATATAAAAAAAAAGGAAGATACATATTTAGCACTAGAGACAGGTTGTAGAAAAAGAGCAAAAAGGGCTCAAAAAACTATTGTCAATTCTTTAAATGCTACCTGATCCACACAGAAATAAAATCAATTTGGGAAAATCTGCCAGTTGCTGGACAATTTATATACCGCTGAAAAACCACCTCTTTATTGTACTGCAAAGTGCAATCATTCTAGAGCTCATTACTCATTATAACATGATTAGCCAAACACTAATCTCCCACCCTTCTGCTGTCTCTTCTGCTCCTATCCATGTGTCGATGCATTTAGAACACACACACTTAAGCTAATTTCTCATACACAAACAGGTTACAAATGACGAAAAGCTCATCCGTATAGTCAGAATATTACAAATTTAACCTAACATGCACCAGATTGGATTAGTATAAATTTTCACTGATCTGATCAGCCATATGCTCCCACAGCATTCAGATTGTAAGGTTCCATTCCACAGCAAAAAAAGTAGTAATGTATAAACATGGACAAATGTACATAAACCACAATACTGCTGTAACATATTTTACACTTAATACTTCGATAAGACCTGGTTTTCTCCCTTGTACCTTGGTGAAACTTCATTATCTGAATCCTGTTGGTTACTGCAATAAGACCTTCCCAGAAGTCTGATGCCTGTGCACTTTCTACTCAAAACTCTGTGCCGAAGGTCTTGCTAAGCACTTCAGCTCCTTTATAAACAACACAAGAAAGAAAGCTTACAGTATGTACTTGAGAGATTTCTCAGCTCAGCTCTAGGACTACTTCTCCAAGCCTTTGATTATCTGAAGAATTTTATCTCCTACATAAGGTTCAGATAACCAAGACGTTAACCAAGATGCTCAGAGAGGGCAGAAGTTAACCATGTGGTGTACACCAGACATTAAAAACAATGGTTAACATCAGTTAGTGGAAGCAGACAGTGAAACAGCAGAATTTGCCAGTAGTATTGGGTTAGTAAAAACTGTGGAGAAGAGATTTCCAGAAAGATCTGAGTTAGAAAATTGAGTAATACAACAGCAGATGAAATGCAAATCAATATAATGTAATGCACACAAGGAGAAATGATTGTATCTAAATACTCGATGAGTTCAAATTAGTCCAGTCTTCTGAGAAAAATAATTAGGAGTCATTGTGGACAGCTCAATGTGCAGCAGTAGTTATAAAGTCTGACAGGATAAACCATTAAAGTTAGAAAGCAAAACAATACCGCATCTCACCTAGTTGAGCACCCTTCCATTTCAGCATTGTTTCCCACTGTATTTCAGCAAAAAAACCCCACTGAATTTGTAAGGTTTCATGCAGCTACACCCTTTAATGGAGGATACAAAAATCGACTGACATATGCAAAAGCTTTTTTAGTAAGACGATCATAGACCAACTACTGAATTTGTTTTAAATATTTACAGTAAAAAGAGTCATATCTGAAATAAAAAGGGTTAGAAGAACGGCACTGGCAATGGCATAGGGAGAGGGTTCAACACACAAAGGACAGATAAAATGAGTGCATCTAATACATAAGTGCAGTACACACTGACATGATAGCACTATACAAATATGAAAAAATTTACATTTGCCTCCTAATTTGAATGTCCTTTTATTTTCAAAGAAACAGAGGCAAAACATCTTTTCTCTAAATGTTACTTTTTACCCAGTAAATAGTACCTTCTTGGAATTAACTTCTGTAGGAAGGTATGAAGATGATGATTAGGCTTAAAAGGGTAGTTATAAACATGGAGAGGATGAAGGGCGTAACATCATCATAACTGAACAGATCATTTCATTGCAACTACCTCCTTCCCTATATTTTGGCCAATAATTTCCTACAAGGAAATTAAGAGAACACCATCCAACCCTGAATATTCTAAAGGTTGTAAGATTTCCTATTTAAAATAAAATAAACACCTGGAATGTGAAACGAAAAAACGTACTATTTCAGGTAGCATTCTGTCAATTCTGCCCTTACATTCTGGCCCATAACCACCAGTTTGCAATTAAGAACGGGTACTTTATTAATGCTTAGAATAATTTCTCATCAAATATCTCTTACAAACAAAACCAATATGCTGTGACTGCACAGCGTATTACTTTCTGTATGCATACATTATCACACAAAGGTCTCACTCCTGCAACCAGAACTGCGTGAGATTTCACTCTTAAGTGAACGTAGCCATTACAGAGGCCACAGGATTAGAGTCCAGACACATTATTCAGAGGCAAACTGATGAATTTTCACTATGTCAAACATTTGAGAGACTGTATATGAAAATGCAGTCAGTCCCATTTTCATTCTTCTAAGACCAAGCAGTTGGAGAAATAAAGAGACTATTAAAACAATATTGCAGTTGAAATCTCAGATGCATAATGGCAGTTTTGTGTTACTGACAAGCTTCCTTGCTTATAAACAAGTACTGTGAGGGGAAATAATTTAAGTGTTTCATTTCCAAATTTTTCAGACTGCACACTAATGGATAATCAAGAATAATTTAAATGGAACATCCCATAAAAATTCCCATAACTTGCTCAATTCTCCCACATTTTCATCTTGTATTGCTTTACCCTTGATGATCACTGTCCTGCTATCAATGCCACGCTGATGGCCAGTGCAATGATTTTCCTTTCCATCACATGCCTGTGTCTCTGAAGGACCAGCTCCTTATCAAACACTCACGTGGGTTAGACAGCACTGAGAATCAGCGTGGACTGAGCCTTCAGCATTCATGTTTCAATATTTCAAATAATTACTACCAGGATTTTTTTTTTTAATTTCCAAGTAGAAAATTATGTACTTCTCGATTTCAGGTACGTGACATTGCACAGCTAAATCCACTTAGGGGCACTGAAGCCTCTGCAACTTCTGAAACAGCTTACTATCACTAAGTGAAATTATCTTTATACTCCTAAAATAAATTCTATAGCTAAGGTTCTAACTGTAAAGTATCACTTTTCCAAACATACATAAGATCCACAGGAATCTTTAATAATAAATGAGAAATATTTTGACACTACAATAACTTACTCACAGCTGCATCTATGTTATTCTTCAAATGGAGTAACTTTTCCAGGGTGAGACACAATCTGTTAATGACATTAATCATACTACCATTTGAAGTAAAACATATCTCAGTGTTACTTCAGGAATAAATGTGAAATGTTGTAGACAGACTTGAGAGAAGTGAGTATACCTAGTGGGCAATAACCAAGTAACTGAAATCAATAAAGCATGGTGTGATTGACACAGTATTCAGGGAAATTCTGTCTATTATCATCAGTACTCCTACATTTTGGTGTCAAGCATGCTTTATGTTTTTCTTCAATAGAAGTATGATATTACATGAGCCACAATCAAAAGAAAGACATCTGAAACACTCACTTTTCTGTTAGAAAAACCTAATCCAATCCTCTGCAAAAATTAATCCCGCTTCTACAGGAAAACTAGAAACTGAGATGTAACAGAACAACAGCAAAGTTCAAAAAAAAATTATAAGGAGATAAAATCTCTTCAAGAAGTCCAAGACATCACTAGTAAGCATGTCAATGTCTGTGCATGCATACGTGCACACCACACACAGCCCAAACATGTCACTTACGAAAATCCTACCTGTGAAGTGATAAACAATGTCATTTATAATAACAAGCAAAATTTTCATTTTAAAATCCTACAGAAGTTCAGATACAAACTGATTATAGCATTCTAGGACAAACTAAATACCTGTTGACAACTAAATAACAGCTTAGAACGAGGAAAACATCAGTGCTTCCCCTCACTTTTCCAAATGAAGGGCTTTTACCTGAAAAGGTTTTGTTTCCAATTACAACATTAACACTTCCATGTCACAATACTAATAAAATAGTGATATCTGAAGAAGCTCCACAGGTTTACTACCTAAAAATAATGCTAAAAATAGTAAAACACGTTGTTAACCACCTTTCAAAAAATAGTCAAATACTGGTTGCACACATATGTGGTGTCAGTCTAGCACTCTTCAACTCACACAAAGAAGCCTGTTTGACAGAAAACTAGAAATTATTCCAAGTTTCCTTTAGCAACACCATGCTGTTAACCCATCACCGTATTAACTTGAACCTATCCCTCTGATTTAACATATGGCATTTCTCCCTTAGTAGTGATAAGCAACTGCTCATTATGTTTTCACAAGTATAAAATCATGGTTGGCTTTCTACATGTGAATAAATAAACTGGAACATCAGGCCCAAGTATCCCAAAAGGAAGTACACAGTATTCCGTATCTCGTCTAACACAGCCCTCGTACTCAAAGAAGATCTTTCACCAGACTAAGGGATGGGCTATGCAGACTGGTGCGGACAGATCCAAGCTCACTCGGCCTTCATACCAAGTTTGTTGGATACACGTTATCTCCAATCTGTAAACTGGATCACCACATTAGCATGTCGTCACACTCGAGCAAACATGCTGAGAAGCAGGGTGCATCATGTTGGGCACAGCCACATATAGCCACACTTCTATAGTTTTCAGGTATGCTCAGTTCATGGGCTGAGTCTGTCCACTCCCGTCTGCACAGAGGGACCGTTAAGTGTTTCCCCACCAGAGCAAGATCCCTTAAGGTCCTGGTTGCTAACCCACTATCCGTCACAATCTGTTCTTCAAACAGTCTTCGACAAGAAATCAATGGTGGAGTCAGAATCCAGCAGAGAAGTCAAAGGCGGGGGGACCTAAGCAGAGCGGTAACGCTAACCCAACGTGCCCAGGCTACAAGTACTGGAAGGGACGGGGGTTAGCTGTAGCCACTATCTAAAGAAATGGTGATGAGTGAATTTATACGAGCGAAAATAGCAGCTCCTGTAAGCGCATAAAGCAGAAACTCTTTTACTGCCAGAAAGCGGGAGAAGAGACCCCACTGAAGTGGAAAAAAACCCCACGAACAGGGAAGACCCGGTATCTGTGAGGCAGGCTCCAGCGCGGCCGCCGACCGATGGAACTGCACCCCCAGCGAAGGGCTGGATGGCCGGCACCGCCAGGCCCTCACCC